ACAAGCCTGCCCAAGGGACAGGAGAGGAGGGGCAAGCCCATCATTGGTACGTCTGGGCAGGCCTCCTTCTGCAGTGGTGGGAGGTGCACCCAGGCTGGAGTCCTGGGATAGGCGTCCATGCTGCTTCAGCACTAGCCAGCTGTGCTGGAGCCTCTGCTGCCCACATGATCACATAAATGGAAAGCACTCTCCTGGACCCTTGTCACTTTCATCCTCTAGAAATCTGTACAGCTAGAGATAAGCCTGAAATTCCCTGAGGCCAAGTGTTTTCCCCAACACTGAACTGGTTTAAGCTGAAGTTATGTAAGAAAACCAGTCTGCTCCCTTGCCTTTCTCTCCCAGTGACAAAGGTAAGAAGCAGACTGACAGCTAAATAAATAATTAAAGGCACAGAGATGGGGCGGGGCGGGGGGGTAAACCAGACACACAGCTGAGCAACTGAGGGGCATCAAAGCCTCTTAAACTTCACTTGTCATTGGACCAAGTCACACTACGAGAGCTTCATGAGACTGCACTAACCATCTTATTTCAGTTCGTCCTGGGAAGCCACAAGTTTCCCAAAAAATGATGAAAAGTTTTTAATACAAAGAAAAATTGACCTTACCCCCCCACCTCAATATCTGGCTGCAAGTATATTTTATATTGAAGCGGGCTGACTTTGTGCTACAGGATAAAAAAGAAAAGGAACAACTTAAAATAGGAACTTCATCAGCGAGTGGGCTTTGCTCCTCTCCGGGTGGGAGTGCTGGGCCTTTGTCCGGGCACAGAGCCTCAGGTAAACCTCAACACTGGTTCTGAACTAAGGCCCAGATGAGGGCTGTCATTGGCCAGGGTGTCACAGCCTGCACCGCAGGACGAGCTGCAGTCTCTCTGCGGCTCCTTCTCAACCCCCCAGCCTGGTTTCGTTCACTCAGCATCAACTGTGAACCCCGCTCCCTGGCTAGATTCTTTGGGTACCGATAGCAGGCTCCTATCCATCACAGGAGTCATGACTGGTACCTACCATCCAGCACCCTGTGTCCTGGTGCCCCAGTGGCACACTAGAGACTACAGGGGAATAAACACGGTTGCTGCCACACCCCTCCAGGGTTGAGAGGACCTAGTGCTGAGGCAGGTGGACTCGGGGGTCACACCCCTGAGGGTCCCCTGGTAACAGGTGTACAGCACACACCAGGCACCAGCTCAGACCCGCTGAGGCTAGCTGTCCAGCCCTGGAAGAGGCGGGAGCAGCAGAGCCCACATGCCACATATGCCACCTACCCTGGTGGCAGGAAACCCGCACCTTCCCCTGGGCACCCCTGCTCCAGCCCCTGCTTCCTCTGCCCTCACTGGACTACGCACCTCTCACCGCCTCACCTCGCACAGTGCCAGCACAGCCTTGGGACCCTCTCATCTACTCATTCTCATTTGCTGTAAAATTTTGTATTTCAGAACACCCCAGCCCAACTCCCAAGGCGGGAAATAACAATCAGCTCTATCTGGGCAGGCACTGCAGACCAACTAGGTCTCAGGTCATGGCGCCCATGGCCGGCCAGCTGGGCTGTTCCTGTCATTGCTGCACAGCACATGCAGGGTGACGCAAAGCCAAAGCCATCTGCTGGGGCAACAGAGGCCCACACGGAGCTGGCAGTTTGCGTGACTGCTACTCACTGAAGTGTGCCAGCGGCTAAACCTAAAATGCAGGGTGATTCATCCTCACAGATTCAGTGAGCGTGAGGTTGGTGCCTGGGGTGGCTATAGACCTCCCTGATGATGTGACTTCCACCGTCACAAGTGAGGGAAAGGGTCCAGGAGACTAACCTTGCTCTCCACCTTCGCACCCCAGGGGCGTCTGCCCTGATGACTACCTCAGCCTTCCTGACCCACCCCTGGCAAGGCTGGATGGCAAGAGCCCAGTTTCCCTGGTAATCACTGACAGCTTAAAACTAGGCCTGTGACCAAAGGCAGGCACTGACACATAAAGCACAGGATGCAGCATCGAGGATCTGCCGAGCACCTCTCACAGGACAGGTGCTGCCAGCACCCAAAGGAAGTGAAGACAGCGCTCTCCCCACGGTCTGCAACTGAGTTAGGAATCAGGTGAACTGCAAGGCAAAGTAGAACATAAATGCTGTGACAGATGTTGACCAGATATGGATCTGCTCCGGAAAGTAAGCAGCCAGTGTTCTGGCTTAGAGCAAATAAAGGGAGCTTTCAAAAGGCAGACTGGGGTGGCCTTACATCATGTGGGTGAGGGAGCACGGCTGCGGACATACACGGGGACAGAGAGAGGCCTGAAGTCTGAAGGACCCAGTGGTAGAAGGCAGGGTCTTAGAGCTGGAAGAACAGCTGTATCCCAGTGAAGCCAGGGCATCATCTCACAGGCAATAGGTCACCAAGGTGCTCTGAGCAGAGGAACGAGGAAACCACAACTCACCCAGGCCATAATATGTATTCTGAAGCAGACATACCAGCCTGGAAGAGAGATGAGAAGAAAAATCCCAAGGCTGCCTTTGCCGTAAGCCAGATTGGGGGCAGCTGAGGGCCTGGACTGGGGGGCAAAACCTGGAGAAGGAGCAGGCTAAAGACACATCTTAGGAAAGGAACAGGTTCAAGTGCTGGAGAAGGAACACTGACCTAAACACATGTTGGGGTCAAACACAACAGGCCCTCCTCCCACTCCCAGCCTTGCTCTGTGGAGCAAGAGGAGCCAGCCAGAGGTGCCACCAAGAGCACCTGCCACACATGACCTTGTGGCAGCTGGAAGGTAATAAATGTCAGGTTATATACACCTGCTCCTTACTGAGAAACACAACTGCAAGGCATGCAATCATGATGGACAACAAATCTCTCTTGCTCCTCTACTATTTAACCACAAAATTAACATAGCCTGTGGCTGCCTCATTTACCAGGCCCCTCCACAGCGTTCAGTGTTCAAAGATACACCTCATAAACACCATCCAGCTTCACTTTTCTGAGTAGCATTCCCCTCTACAAAAGCTGAAACCTGGAAATCTTGAGATTTAATTGCCTAACCTTTTCCTAAAACTCAACGAACCTTTGTGACAAAGACTACTATTTATAGGCCTGTCCAGAGAATTAAAGAGACTTTCTAGATGAAACCTGAACTGCCAGTTGGCCAGTCTGGACATAAGAGCCAGGGCAACTGTTTGGACCACCTGCAGTCAGGACTGTAAATCCCTGAGAGTCCTATCTGCCTCCTGGCACCTAACCTCATTAGACTGAGCTGAATGAGAGAAAAGATGGCAGAAATTTCTAAACACATATGACCTGCCCTTACTGAACCAGGAAGACATAGAAAACCTAAACAAACCAGTATCAAGTAGTGGAACAGCAATTAAAAACCTTCTAACACATTTTAAGTAAGTAAATATTTTAAAGACATGAAAATAAAGTAAAGCCTTCCAACAAAGAAAAGTCCAGGACCAGAAAGATTCTGTTAAGATCTAGCAGATCTTTAAAGAACTAACATCAGTCTTCCTCAAATTATTCAATAATAATTGAATAATTTGAGGGAGGGAACACTCTCAAACACATTCTATGAAGCCAGTGTAATAACTGATACCAAAACAGACAAAAGATACATCAAGGAAGGGATACTATAGACCAATATCCCTGATGAACATAGATGCCCAAATCCTTAATTTGATAGCAAAGTGCATTCAAAAACACATCCAATCCCAGCAGTTTGGGAGGCTGAGGCAGGAGGATTGGAAGTTTGAGTCCAACCTCAGCATCTTGACAAAAGGCCCTTGTGTTCCCACTGTTTTATAAAGCCAGAGTAGGAATTTTTAATACTAACCTAACATTAACTTAAAATTGACTAAAAAAAAATTTGTTTTGGCAGATTATGTTGTCTAAAAGGACAGTAATATATGCATATGGAACAGGACCCTGAAATATTAAAAAAGCATTTAATAATTAGAATTTGACAGATTATTTGACAAGAGCAAGGTCAAAGTGATCAGATTTCTAACCACTTTTCTTAGGAACTACTCTACATAAACTCTTTAGAATAATTCATAAAATATTTTAAAATTATGTGATATTAAATAGTTTTTATAAAACTATTTTTAAAAGGTAGAATGATAGCTTTATCTAAGATTTGAAGATAAGAACTAATATTTTTATCTTAAGCTATGTTGTTTAAAAAAAAAACAAAAAACTTCAAAATACAGTTGAATTAACTAGTCTTCTCAGAATGCCTGACCAGGTCACTGATCTTAAAGAAAACAGGCCAGAGCAATATGGCCTGAAAATAGTCAATGAATTTGGTTTCTAAACATGGTTGTCGCTGGGCGTGATAGCAGACCTATAATCCCAGCGGCTGGGAAGGCAGAGGCAGGAGGATTGCAAGTTTGAGGCCAAACTCAGCAACTTAGCAAAGGCCCTAAGCAACCTGGTGAGAAACTGTGTCAAATTAAAAGAAAAAAATAAAAAGGACTAGGGATGTGGCTTATGTGGTTAAGCATGGTTGGGTTCCATCCCTCGTATTAAAAAATTAAAAAACTTAAAAATAAGCATGGTTATCTCCTCTAATCTTCACTCATACAAACATAACACAGTTCCAACTAAAAGAATTTAAGTTATATGCCAAAATCATAGAAGTAATTTGTTTTGAGAAAATGAGAAAAGATTTGATCAAATATATATGCCCTGTAGGAAAGTCACGTTTGTTCATATATATGCATATATGACTGATTTTGAAATCACACAGGCATGAGAACACCTTTAGCTGATAACTAAGTTGAAAAGCTATGCAGTATTTTCTGTCCACTGCTAACATGGGCAAAATGCTGACCCTCCCACATAGGTAAGGGAAACAGATGGTTCATTTTCAAGAAATCCCTGACAGTGCGTACGATTTATTTCACATATTCTGAAAACATCTGTCTTCTTTGCTCTTATTTCTCTCACCTTCTGATAAACACTGAGGCCTAATGAAGAATTATAAAAGTCATCATTTCCTCCTTTATGAAGCACACCGAAGACAAAAAAGATCAGTCATTTCACATTTATTTTAGCAAAGCTGTTTTATGTGGCAGTTATGACACAGACACTGCAGTACAGCACAGTGGTGATTTCACAGCTACTACCTGCTCCAATTAACAAAATATTTCTTTATAAAAATTTGTGCAAGAGGTTTACATTCACTTCTTCATGTGTTATAAGATTGTAACAATGGTCACAGTAGATGCAAAGACAGAAAATTACTTATCTTAAACATCTGTTCTGGGGCTGGGCTCACGGCTCAGCGGTAGAGCACTCGCCCGGCATATGCGAGGCCCTGGGTTTAGTCCACAGCACATTAAAAAAATGAATAAATAAAGTAGTGGTATTCTGTATAACTAAAAAAATATTAAAAGGGGAAAAAAAAAACCTATTCTGCAAAGACAAGAACTCCACTTGGATTTATTCAAGGTCCAGAATTCCTGGACAGCTCAGGACCTTGGTGTTGCTGAGCCTAATATGCCCAAGACTCCCCGAGGTCTCATGATCACATAACCAAGGGCCCATAACAAGGCCCCAGGCTGCCCTGGGGTTCACCACAGAACAAAGACAGTGCGCTCCACAGTTCTACTTCAGGAAACTTGGGTTTCACGTGGGCAATCTCTTGTTCAGACAGATGCTCAGGTGACAGCCGCAGACTTTCTCCACTGGTGCAGGAAAGCTGCTCAGGTTTGTGGCCTAGCTATTGTCAGAACTGGGGTGGCTGCAGCACAGGAATGGACTCTCCTCTGAGGGAAAAGTAAAAGGAATAGGGAGAGATTCAAAGAGGCCTGTGCAATTGTTGACATCCACACAGGTAATGATCTTGAGCTGTCCCAAAAGTACCAAACTGACTGCTGGAGTCTGCCCTATGATGTGGCATACGCAGAACATCCAGAATCTGGCCCCTCATCTGAATGGATTTAGCTGAGACCTTTGGGAAGACAGTCCTAGCAGCCTACATTTCTCACTTACAGGTCTGACTAGGATTTGAAGCCAGAACTAGACAGGCCAGGTGTGTCCCTCAATAACAACTTATTCCAACTGTGAGATTTATGACTGTAAATGCTTAGGCTTCACCCCGAGGTTCTAAGTTAGTCTAACTGGAGGTGTGGATTTTTTTTTAATTTGGTTTTTTAATTTTTCAGGTAGTAATAACAGGCAACCAAGGTAGAGATCCCTGACCAGCAACTCAGAGGAGCATCAGGGCCCCTGCCATTCCACTGCCATTTCCCCACAATGGGGAAGACACCCTGGTTGCTGAACCACCTGGTATAGCCAAGTCACCTCCGTAAGGACAAAAGGGTGCATCCAAGAGGGGACATCCATCTGTGCTGTTTCCAGTTACATCTGCGATATGAGACAGGGGAGGGAGCATCCACTGGGGTGCCATCTAAGGCCAGTCTCACCAGATTTTGGTGAAAATCCCAGAAACAGGGAGTTTGTCAAGCAGTGCACAGAACTGGTGTGGAAGGTGGGAAGGGGCAGGATTCTGACACTGGGCGTGAAGATATCAGAAAAACTTCTAGAAGAGTGCAATCTCATGAGATTCACATAGTCCGGAGAGGACTCTTACTTCAAAGCATTTGTGACTGACAGCTGTGCAGAGAGCTTCCTTCCAAGCCCTGCCTTAAGGGCTGCAAAGTTACCTCTTCAATGCAGAAACAAGGGCTGGTGCTGAGGGGGGATTTTACTGGTCCCAAGGCCCAAGCATACCCTCTCAAAAACATGCTTTCAAAACACACTGCCACCAGGAACATTCTGATGGGTTCTAAGTGGTCATGTGTTGCTGGTCTATACAGAATCTTCAAAAAATGACCAAAAAAGAAACAAATGACTTGTCTGAGTTGACACAACTGTCTGATGATTTCTAAGCAATTTAAACTGCACACGGTACTTTAACAGAACAAAAAGTTTATAACTCCGACTCTGATGGCAGGGTGGCCTGCTCCCCCTGAATGGCCTCACCTGAGAAGGAAGTCCAGGTGTTCTGAAACAGGCCATCAGAAGGGAGGCTGAGACCCAGCCAGGAAACCAGCACGTGCTTGTCTGGCCACATGCACGCAGCTACTTGAGATTATGGAAGCTGAGAAGACAGCAAACCTGTCTCCCAGGCACACCTGAACACAGCTTCAGAAACTATGCCAGGTTTTACTGCTAACATAGCTGATGATCCTCTATGGGCAGGACTGGGTACTTTGTATTTATTTTAAAAATGATTTTGTCTGACAATCTTAGGAGCAAATTATATTGTCATTGACCTGACGTCCTCTAATAGGTACCGTGTGTGTGTGTGTGTGTGTGTGTGTGTGTACACCAGGGAAGTGTCCCAGGTTGGGGTGAGCACAGTTGAGGCTATGATCTGCCCAGGATAACTAGTGACATGCTTGGAGGCAGGAAGTCATCCTAGCATTGGCCAAAAACAACCCATCATGTAATTACGTTTGTGTAATTTTAGGTGTCAGAAAACACTAATGAAAGTACTACTGGGACTAAGGAAACCTGACATTTGTTAGGGTCTGTAAACAAGTCAGGATGGCAATAGCAAATGTTAGAGTCTGTAAAAAAGTCTGGACGGCGCCTGGCATTTTGCCAGGGGAAGTGGTTTGTGAGGTGGCGCCAGCGAGCCATTAAGTGTGGAGATTTCTTATTAGTTGACTGCTGTACCTAGTTTATGCTAATTAAGATAAGCTGTGTGGAATGTATAAATATCCCTCCGGTCCTACAATAAACGGCTCCTACTCCTGCTGTATCAACGTAAACAAGTTGCTCATCACCCCCCGGATATTTTGCTGCAGCCGGACTGCGGCAGACATTTAATTCTTAACTGGGGGCTGGGGATATGGTTCAAGCGGTAGGCTCGCCTGGCATGCGTGCGGCCCGGGTTCGATCCTCAGCACCACATACAAAGATATGTGTCCGCCGGAAACTAAAAAAAAAATATTAAAATTCTCTCTCTTTAAAAAAAAAAAAATTCTTAACTGTATTAGGTAACCATTCCTGAGTTGAGCTTATTTCCTCAGCTGTAAATGGAACTGCAACCTTCCCTTTTCACAGTGGCTTGGTGAATACCGTGGAGGTCTGGGGAACACTGTACGGCATGAAGTAAGGTATCGTGCAAAGGAAGACAGACATCAAATATTAGGAAAGTTCTGAATTCCAGGAAATATTTTCAAAAACTAAAACACATCACATGAAGGTGTTTTGGAGAAACCATCTTTCTAGTACTGAGGAGGGTTACACAGGGTGGGGTGCAGCTCAGTGCTAGAGCACTGGCCCAGTGTGCGGGGGCCTGGGCTGGATTCCCAGTACTGCGGGGGTTGAAGGCTTTATATAAAAAGGTGTTTAAGAAGAAAACATCACAAAAACACAAAAGTGAGGCAAACTTAAAAAACTATTTTTTAACTTCAAATTTCTCAAGAGTTCTGAACATCATTTACTATGAATGTCCAGGATCCAACCTCTGTGGTCACCTGGCCATTTTCACATCACAGTGGAACAGCGTTCTGTGGGACCAGCAGGGGAGGTGATCTTACTATATATTCTTTGTAATTCCCACTGTGTGCTTGAATACAAAAACCATAGGACATGTCTGCAATAAGAGTTGGGTTTTTTGATTGTGTTTTTTTAAAAACATCAACATGTATGGATGCATGCTGGTGAGCATTTGATAGCTGGTCTATTCTAGCTCTAAATTCATTGTTAAAATTTCTTAAGACCAGGTCACTATCATATCCTCCCTTCTGTAAGGCCACTATGACCGTCTTCTCAGCAGGATGGAGAATGACCCTTTGTGCTCTGCAGGAGATGCACACTCCACTGCTTTGGGCAAGGGTGTCTGCTATGACAGACAGAACCTGCCCTTGTCAGTCCAGCATCAATTTGGCGAGGGCCTCTGGACCAGCCAGAATGAAAATATGACTTCTGCCACACAGAAGTTTTTTCTCACTTTGAATCCCAAACAAAATTTGTACCTGATTATTAGACAAGACCTAAACTAGGTAAGAGGCAGCAACCCAAGGTGAGACTATAAAGAAAACATGGCAGCATCTTAAGCTAAAAAGTAAGAGAAATAGTGGCAGAATTGAAGTCTATGACTGTAGGTTTCTGTCATGCTTATATGAATGCTATAAAGGATCAGTTTAACAGCTGGCAGCAATGGCCATCAAGCACACAGATTAGATGGGAGAAAGGATTACAAAGTTTGGCAAATAGCTTGCATGGGCCAAGAGTGGTCACAGACTGAGCAGCAAGTATTGCATCTGTTTAAAGAACGGACCTAAGAGGTCATTTTACAACTCTTTACTGGATGATGAAAGCATCTTCCTCTCTCCTCATGAGCTGCAGGCATGCATCACGGCTTCTGTGCCCTGGGATTCCTCTGACCAGCAAAACAAGGGTTTCAAGTCTCCTCGTGAGCCCCACCTGTGTTATGCTGGACACCACAACATCATGGAAACAGAAGACTCTTCAGGAGATAGAGCAGAAACTCCATGCAAGGCTCTGGGAGCAGCTGCACAGGCTGGGAGAGAGTTCCTTATCAGTTAACAGGCTGGCATGAGGAATATGGCACTGACGTGGAACAAGGGTTAAAAACAGTGAGATCGTTCATATACATTTGAGAACATTCAGAGTTTCTTCCTGCCCATAGCTGGGATGTCATAAAATCCTAATGTGCTTCCATAAATTCCAGGTGGTTTTCCCATCTCACCCACCGTAGCTTACGTTCAACAGCTCCAGTATCTTGTAAAAGTGGCTGCTGGATCAGCCCACTTATGTCTTTGTCTGAGGAAGTTTGTTTTATCTCTTCCTCACCCTTTACAGAAATAATGTCACAGGGAAACCCAAATTCTCCAAAAGATACACACAGTCACACTGATAATCACTGGGTGTTTCTAACTCCTCTTAGATACTAGCAAGGAGAAGAGAGGCCTGCTGCCAATCACCCACCCTCATCCACCTTCGTAGACAGAGACATCATAGCAACTGTGAGTCTATACTAAGAATGCACAAGGCAGAGGCAAAAGCAGCACTGGCCTGTCTGGGTGTGGGCAGCAGTGTGTTGACTATCTGCCCAGCCACACTCTTCAGTACCTTTTGGTTATCCATAACTCCGCACTGGAGCTGCAGATCTTTGCTGTGGAGAACTTGGATGTGATGGAGCTGCTCCAGTAACTTTTTTCACAGTACTGAATGTTAATAATGAGAATGATTTCTAATCAATTTAAACTGCACACAGTACTTTAACAGAACAAAAAGTTTATTACTCCCACTCAGTAGTTCCTGGGGGCTTTGAAGTTAAATCATACATAATTCGAGAAATACCAGGAATCTTCTTAATCTCAGTGACCATCTTTAACACCACCTGTGATAAAAAGAAAGATTACAAACACAAGAGTCAGATTCCACTGCACGTCCAACAGTCCTAGAGGGCGTGCTTTGCAATTTAACATTCAGATGTCATCTAGTTTTACTACCATCCTTCATGAACATGGAATGATCTCTGATTAATCTTATAGAGTGAACCTATCTCACTCTATAATAGATATTAGTGACTTCAAATCAGTACTACTCAGTGTAGTCCACGGACAGGTACTGGAAGACAAGAGATGCCCGCCATCAGTCCACAAGTGCCTACATAAACAGTGACCTGACACTGCCACGGCACCTAGCACATGGCTCTACAAGTCACCTGTGGCTTACACATGCAACTCTGAGCCACGCAGGGGACACTGATGCACTATCATCAGTCACTGTAAAGTGCACAGGAAGAGAGGATGGCCTGGTCACTTGACTGGCCAAAGATTCAGCAAATTTAAGCCACATTCCCCACAAGCCAGCTATTCAGCTAGAACCAGGACCTCACATTAAAGTCTGAGTTTGATTTTCAGTTGCTATTATGTAAGGGGCTCCTTTGGCCCACTGTGGTGGAAAGACAGAGGGTGAAAGAAAATGATCAAAACTGGAACTGGAAGCATGACAGGCAGAGCCTTAGGCGGTTCACACCTGGACATGCACCATCAAACCTCATCCTTACAAACTCCTCTTCACTCCCAGGGTTTCCTGCACTTGGAGAAGTACAGGGGCTGGCAGGATTAGATTACAGTTGTGACTTTCTACATAGCAATCAGACATCTGCAGGGCATATTAAATTTAAGGGCCTTTTCTGCTGCCAAATATTAAAGGGTCAAATAAATGAAGACAGGAAAAAAAAACAAAAAACAGAGAACCAATCCCAAAAACATCAACTTCAGCACAGCCTATTCAAGTCACTGTATCATGGAATCACGAGGTCCTGAAATGCACATTAGAAAGAAACATGCATACCTCCACAGGGATCTCGTTGCCAGGTGTCGCAGGCACACCAGTCATGAAGTCACTTGTGATGAAGGTTCGAATGACCACAGACCTCTGGCATGAAGGCTGCTTCTGAAGTGGGTCTCGATCGAAGTGCAAGGGCGTCAAAATCACTGGCATCTGGCTGATTTTCCCAGAATATCCTAGGGAAACAGATATGCAGAACCAATCCACACACCAGGGAAAAGAACCTAGTTCTGTGACTCCGCCCAGACAAGGTCAGCATGGGCACCCCCAGGCCAGCAGAAGGAGCAACTCACCAGACTCCCTGAGGATGTTGTGAGCCTCAAAGTCAGCCTGACGCAAAGTGCTGAGCACCCCTGTCGTTAAGAAAGTGGGTGTCACGTCAGTAGGAGGTTCCTTAACTGGTGGGCCAAAGATGTAGACAACTCTAGAAGGAAAGGGGAAGTTCACGATCAGAGTTCAGTAGGAGAAGGGAGGCACAAGTCCACCACTTTTCCACTTGCCTACGACCTCCAACTGGCTTCAGCTCCCAACAGCCAGGACCAGGACAGGCGCAGGATTGTGGGTGGATCTTCAAATACACCTCCCTCCCAGTGTGCTGCCTGGATACCAGCACTCCGTGTGCACAGGTTTATGTGACCACTACAACCTTTTCACATAATGTACTGGTTTGAATGTCCCCCCAAATTCATGACCAGTCAGAACCTGTGGGTAAAAACAGGTGTGCAGGTGTCATCAAGACGAAGTCATATTAGACTTCAGTGGGCCCTAATCCAATGACCAGTGTCCTATAAGAACAGGGAAATTTGGTTTTGTGTTGTTTAGGGGCGGGGGAGGGGGGTTGTTGTTTTGCTACAATGCTAGGGATCAAACTCAGGGCCTTCCCCATGGTAGGAGAGCATTTTACCAGTGAGCCACTGCCCCGCCCAAGAACAAGCAGTGTGGAAACAGACACACACAGATTAAAGCGTGCCACAGGAATATGGAAAAAGACACCGGACTGTGCTGCCACAAGCTGAGGACCAGCAGGACACCACCAAGTCCAGGACCACCATAGATGCTTGGAAGAGGCAAGAGCGGATCTTTCCCTGGAATCAACACAGAGAACATGGTCCAGCCAGCACCCTTATTTCAGACTTCTGGCCTATAAAAGGATAGATATCTGCTAGGTTAAGCCCACCCAGTCTGTGGTATTTATTACAGGTAGCATCAGGAAATCAATACACATAGTTAACAAATAAATAGGTTTGTGGGAGACCAACCTCACATGTGACTGAGTCACATCCCCCAACTGGTTGCTGAGGCGCTCAATCACAGAAATGTGGCAGAGCTTTCCCCACCATTCTTGGGTTTGAGGGTCGATGTCTCGTGCATGGGTGTCTCTTGCTACAGCCCCATGAGTGAAGCTATGCTCACCTGTTATAATATAACCCCTTGCCCTGTTTAGATAGAATCTTCCATGGAAGTGCCTTGTGTGTGTATCCCCTTCTCTTACTGTGCCCTGGGTGTGGCCTACCCAGATGTCAGTCAACCTGCTGACAGTGGACATCATGAAGATAGACTCAGCCCCCTGAAACCTGACCCCCTTGCCTCATTTGAATAGCTTCTCCTCAATAAAAGGGGCTCTCGCTCTCTCTCTCCCTATGGACCCTTAAGGTCAGAGGAGCCGTCACAGTGACCTCAAAGAAAAAGGTATTTGTGTCTCTTGTGTGGTTATTTTGCGTAGCCCAACTAGCCCAATTTAACTGGAGTGACCCCTGAACCTTTTAGTCGCGTGAACAGAAACTTGGCATAAGTTCTTTATGGTAAGACTTCAGAAATTGTAACATGCTAACATGCATTGGAAAAGCTCGAAGGTAAGAACAATTTCTTCAACCTAGTTAGCCCACGTTTTTTAACCCCATAATGAGAAGAAGTGCTCCTAGATTTTTATTTCCACACTATTAAAAACGTCACTCAAATAGTACTTAGTATCCTGCTACAATTTTCCCAGAAGAGTATCTTACTAACACTTTAGGGAAATATCTTTGAAAGACATGAAGACGCTGCAAGTGTTAATAAGGGTTTGGAGCATAACTTGAAGAAATCGGGACCAGAAAATTGTAACAGCCCGAAGTGTGCCTTGCCAAGTCACAATCTTTACCAGAAAAACAAGAGGGAATCAGACAGAGATCTGAGTGCACCCAGTTTTCCCTATGCCAACCACAGCCAGCAGGTAACTGTCACTGGTCCTCAGGCCAATCTACCATTAGCAAAGAAAACAAAAGTTTAATAATGTCTTTGCTTAATATCCACATGCAGCAAAATATACAAAACATGAAAACTACCGCTACCCAACTACTTCACTGACTCCCTCCAAACACACTGTAGAAGGTTTTGTCCCTAGAAAGTAAGCCATACCTCATGTAAACACCGTCACTCCTAAAGCCCGTAAACCATCACAAAGGAGAAGGGAACTGGTTGAGAGCCTCAAACCTGCACTTTTCATCTTCTCCTTTCCTACAGGAGAAGCTGCAACAACGGACATGAAAATAGATACCCACACTGTGCAGATGAGTAAAACTGGAAAAGTCCCTCCATGGGCAAAGGTTCCCTTTCCAAATTAGGAAAAAAAATCATGAAAATAAAAAAATATTTTAAAATTGCAATTTCCAAAAAGGAACTTGGCAAAACATGTAAGCCCACTCAAGGGCTTGCTGGGTTCATGTTTTAAGATCTAGTTGTTAACTTGCTGACCTTTTTTCTTTTTCTGAGGGGTGAGGGAAGAAAGGTCGAGAAAGGAAGAAATAGATAAGGGAAAAAAGAGAAGTAGCACCTGAAAGGATAAAGCTTATTAAGTAAAAGTGAATGTGCTTTAGCAAAGAACACAAGCATGAGAAGAAGACTACCACTAAATAGGGAAGAGAGGTGGGTGGGAAAAACAGGGAGAAGGGGAACTGCACGGAAGATGGAAGGAGAACCTCATCGTTATACAGAATACATATATGATGTTGTGATGAGAAAAAGAAAAAAAAAAGTGTGTCACATTAGATTGGATAGAGAGAAATGATGGGAGGGGAGGGGAGGAATAGGGGGGATAGGAGGGGCAGCAGAATAGAATAGACATTATGATTGATATATGTATATAGGTGACTCTATGACCAGTGTGATTCTGCAATCTGTACAATTAGAAAAATGAGAAATTATACCCTAATGATATGAATTGCCAAGATCACTGTAATGTCATGTGTAGATTAAAAACAAACAAACAAACAAACAAAAAAACACAAGACATAAATAAAAAACATGCTACTTATTAAAAGCAATCAGAAGACACTTAGAAATATGTTCAGACTGCCAGGCGCAGTGGCGCACACCTGTAATTGGTAGGCTGAGGCAGGCAGATCGAGAGTTCAAAGCCAGCCTCAACAAAAGTGAGGCACAAAGCGACTCAGTGAGACCCTGTATCTAAAAAGAATACAAAATAGGGCTGAGGATATGGCTCACTGGTCAAGTGCCCCCGAGTTCAATCCCCAGCCCGCCTCCAAAAAAATAAAATGTTCTGACATACAAAGTTTATGGAGACTATTAGCATGCTTCAGAATATAAATTATAATGTCCTGAACAACTTTCCAATGTCTCCTCATAACTATGCAGACTCAGCTAGGTTAATGCTAATGGGGAGCTTTCTCATTTCTATAGCAAACTTGAAAATGAAATCCCAAGTGATTATTTTGGGTTGTTAACTGCCTAATACCCATAAAAAATTGCAAAGTGCTAACAACTGTGAAATAAAACATTTAATTAACAATCCAGTTTTAAACAAGTGACAATTTTAAACTGTAGGAGTATCGGGAATAGTCTATAAACCATCTGTTGGTATTTCTAATGTAAGACATTGATGTAAAATGAAAGGAAAAAAAGGTCTAAAAACTGCCAATCATACACTTCAATGTTACTATTTAATGATATCTGCCACAAGCCTATTTCTTTTAACTTTCCAACCTGGTATGTAATTCTAGAACCCAACAAACTTTTTTGCAATCTCCCTGGAAAACAGCATGTTACCATGAAACTGAGTTCATACCACTAATCTGGAGACCCATGTTGTGGTCCACACATGAGGTGTCCCCCAGAAGCTCATGTGTGAGACACTGTGACAATGTTTGGAGATGAAGCATTCACTGGGTGTGCAAGCCTCGATACTCAGCAGTTAACCCACTGATAGGGATGGACCGGGCAGTAGCTGTAAGCAGGTGGGGGGTAGCTGGAGCAGGCAGATCACTGCAGGGTGTGCCGCTGGCAGTTATGTCCATGAGCAGAACTCTTGCCTAGTGTCATAACCTGAGCTGCTCTCTTCCACCACCCTTGTCCACCATGATGTTCTGCCTCACCTTGAGCCCAGGGCATTGACCATGGACTGAACCTCTAAAACCATGAGCCAAAATAAACTTTTCCTCCTCTACATTGTTCTTTTCAGGTGTTTTGGTCACAGTGATGCAAAGCTGACTAAAACAACATGCTTTAAAACTACCTTTAATATTTTATACTAAAATTAAAATCCTTCCTATTTCTACTTTAAATAACAATAAATAAGGGCTGGGGCTAGGGCTCAGCAGTAGAGGGCTTGCCTAGCATATGCGAGGCGCTGAGTTTGATCCTCAGCACCACTTAGAAAATAAATAAATAAAGGTATTGTGTCCAACTACAACTAAAGAAAAATATTAAAAATAAATAGATAGATGAGTACATTGAGATGATCAAAACGAGATAATACTCAATATCTACTTAACCCTAACCAAAGCATATAACTGAAATATAAACAGAATCACTAGCTTTTCTTTATCTACATTTGAACCTTTTGGTCTTTCATCTAATAGGAAGACCTTAAAACACTGTCCTTCCATGTACATCCCCGTGCATCCCCCAACCCCACCTCCTGCAGAAGATACCTGTTTATGTTGTGACACATCCGAGGAATGAGCCGGGCAAGGAAGATGAGCGATTCCCAGTCAGGTTCATCTTTACTGGAGATTCCACAAACATAACTGTAGGACCGACAGTCACCCTGAAAAGAGAAATGTAATCCATCATTTCTAGTAGCTTTATAAAGCCAAAAAGTAAGCCAGAAAATGTTTTATGTATGGTGACACTAACAGCATTTTTTGGTTTTGTTTTTTAAGAACATATTTACAAATAAAAGTACATTATAGATGGTTCTTTAAAGATATGAAGAAATCTGGGGGCTGGGGATATAGCTCAGTTGGTTAAAAAAAGTGCTTGCCTTGCATGCACAAGGCCCTGGGTTCAATCCCCAGCACCATCAAAAAAAGAAAAAAGAAAAAAAGAAAAGAAAAGAAATGATGTGAATAAATCCCATATTAAATTCCACTAGTTTAAAGAGAGCACCATGGTAATTTCAAGAATTTAACTGAAATATGCCAGAGGTCCACTGGGATTTAATTCCAAATACCTGCACAATTATGGAGAGCCAGCTTGCTTAATCTAGAAGACAACATCTACCCACATTTATTAGGTAGATTAAGAATTTAAATGGTAGACCAAAAAACCTTAAACATTTACTTAAAAATAAAGTTATAAACCTTATAAACATTTACTTAAAAAGTTCACATCACAGTTTAGAGTAGAACAGTGGTTTCTAAACCTGGTGTAATACTTTCACATTTCATTTTCCTAAGCAATTCCTACTCCAGGATTAGTGTAAGCAGCAAATGGCAGAAAAGTTCTGCCAGTCAGGGAACTCGCACAACTCACCTGCACACCCACAGTTTTAATAGGCAGCAAGAAGGCACTCAGGGAATGCAGGCTTGTAATCTGCATCAGCTTCTCCTGATCCTCCTCGGTCGTGCAGGCCTTGACTCTTTGTAACAGTGTATGAGGCTGAGAAGAGCAGACACGGATTCAGGCTTCCGTCAATAAGGCATCTGTCCTCACGCAGCTACACTGACCAGCTCCTAACAGGGCCCATGCGGGGCGTCTCCTGACCTGCACATGCCACACACTACACCAGAAACTCATTCCTGAGAGCTGGGCCATGAAGGAGGGAAGCCTCAGGTACGAAACACAGACGGAATTTACACCCCTCAAGTCACCAGCAAGTGAAACACCTAAGTCCAACTTATACCTTATCCCTAATAACTTTTGCAACAAAATTTTTTTTGAAGTATAGTTCTGTCCAATTCTTTTATTTGCTTGTCTTTCTCTACTTTTTAATTTCATTCCTCTCCAGAAATTAGTAATATCTTATAAACACTATACTTTTCAGATTTATTGCCCATAAATGACTCAGTAGAGATTAATCATTCATTCAAGCATCTATCCTGCAGTTCACATTTGTCCCATTTTTATGTCTATTTTCCGTTTTTTCACTCTCCTTTGAACTGGGGATTCCTCTTGGCTGATTCCCATTCACAGCTGGTGTGCGTGGGTAATGGAGATCAAACCCTGAGCTTCACACCCAGCCAGGTTCACAGCCCTTACTGGTTAGCTTTAACCCACCGAGGCCCAAGTTTTCAATTCTACAAACATAATAAATATTCAAATATTACTTCACAGTTGACATAAGTAGCATATTTGTTGCTTGATTTACGTTTCTACAGGTGTTCTACATCTGGGACAATGGAACAAAATGAATTGAGGTTAATTCCTCTATTTTAGTACTTTGTCTCAAGTGTTAACAGTATATTGAACAAGAGAATCATCTCAGTCCTGGCAAATAATTCAAGTATTTTTGATGCTCTGAATATTGTTACACACTTTTAAGTCAACAACAAAAAGGAGAGAGATTTTTATTTTTACACAGTCCATGTTTGTTTCAACTTTCCCATTTTCCAATTTCTCTGCTTACCAATCCTTTGCATATCTAAGACTTTTCTACTGGGATCCATCCCTCTGCTTCTCCTGTACTCAGTTACTTTAAATCAGTTGTTCCCAACCACCACTGCAGAGGCAAATTACATGGGATGTTCAGGTCTCATCCCAAACCAATTAAATAAGAAATCATAGGGAGATTGGCCAAAGAATACGGCAAAAGTTCTCCCCAGATGATTCTAATATAAAGCCAGGGTTGAAAACATTGCTTTTAATTCCTCAACTAAGGGACTATTGGTAACAAATTCTGACTATCTGAAAATGACTTTACTTTGCTCTCTTCTTACAAGGCAGTTTAGCTGCACATCAGTTAATAAGTCTTGCTGTTACTCTGGCTTTCAGTAAAGGGGTCTTGCCTTTGTAACCATCTCATCTTCTCTGCAGCTTCTTCCCTGGCAGCTATAACTTCACTAGGACACGCCTCCTGGGTGTCACCTCTGCTTGAGATATGTTATGATGCTGAATCTGAGACGCTGCCTTCCATCAGCTTGGAAAAATTAATTAATTCTTGCTACTATCTCCTTCTCTCCTACCCATATTTCTTTTTGAGGACTAATCCTACTTTGGGGCAACTTCCTAATATCAATCTTTGAATTCATGAATTCTGTTATAATCCCAGTTATTATTTTCACTCCTGGAACTTGGGTTTTTGTTTTTTCTTTTTAATCTGCCCATATTTAGTAGCCAACCTCTTATTCCCTCTTTTTATCAGCAATGGGTTCTTCTATTTCTATTCATTTTATACACTGTTTGCTAATTTGGTATCATTTATTCTGCTAGTATTTCTGCTCCTATTCATGATGCCTTACTTCTATATGTATTTGGTAGTTTTTTGATAAGCTCATAAGTATGGATCTCTGTCTATGGGGATTTTTCAGCGACTAGCTGAAGATCATTTCAAGGAGAATTCAAATTACTATCAACCTAGGTCCACTTCAAATTAAAATTCTTATCTTGCAGTTTTCAGAACAGAGGTATAAATTAACACCCTAAAATTGCAGGACTAGGAGACTCTTCCACTCACCCTCAATTTGGAGCTGAAGTGTTGCTCAGTGTGAAGACCTGATTCATTTTCCAGCCTTCATGGAACAGTTCTCCCATTGAGACGCCAATTCATAAATGGCAGCGTTCAGCCAAAGCCCTAGATCACAAGGGATCTGGCTGCCTTCAGAGAAGGAAACAGCTCTGGCTGCTTGAACTGATGCTTCCAATTCATTCCTGACTCAAAGTATTTTCCTTACTTTTTTCCAATACACATGAAAGAATGTTTTAAAATGCTTCAGTGTTTCAGAATATCATTTTATCTGCATCTAAGTCTCTGTAGAATACTTTCTCAGTCATTTCAAAGACTTATATTACTCTAAATTTTCTTTCTTCCCATTTTTATGATGATTATAGACATAATGAATTCGTCTTTATATATTCATACATGACAATATAATTTGGTCAAGACTGTTCTCAGTAATTCCCCTTTTGCTCCCCTAATGACCTTTCCCTCTGTGCTGTTCTTCCTTCTGTTTCATGAGAACCCACCCTGCTCCTGCTCCATGACCTTCCTTCCTTTCCAGCTTCCACACAGGACAGAAAGCATACCACCCTTAATTTTCTGAGGATGGCACATTTTGCTTAACATAATGCTCTCTAGTTCCATCCACTTTCCTGCAAATGCCATATCATTCTTGAATGGCTAAATAAAACCATGTGTGTACACACAATTTCTTTAGCTATTCACCCAGTGACAAACACCTAGGCTGGTTCCACAGTCTGGCTACTGGGAATTGTGCTGCTATAAACATGGAATGTGTACATTCCTTAGTGTGATGACTTGGATTGTTTTAGATAAATACGGAGAAGTGGGAAGCTGGGTCACAAGGCTATTCCATGACTAGGCTTTAGAGGAACTTCCATACTGATAACCACTGTGGTTGTACGAATTTACAGACTCACCCGACAGTGTAAAATGTTCCTTTTCTCCACATGCTCTCCAGCACTTATCATTGTATTGGGTATGGACGGGACAGGAATAAACCTGAGGGTATCATATTACCACAGAGCTTCATCCTTAGACCTTTTCATTTTGAGATAAGGTCTTGCTAAGTAGCTGAGGCTGGCGTGGGACACACAATCCTCTCGTGCTACCATATCTAGCTGTTTTTTTGTATTCTTGATGGCTGCCATTCTAACTGGAGTGAGATCAAATCTCAGTGTAGTTTTGTTTTGTTTTCTTTTACTAGAGATTGAACCCAGGGATGCTTAACTACTAAGCAACATACCCAGCACATTTTTCTTTTTTATTTTGAGACAGAGTCTCACTAAGTTGCTGAGGTTGACTTTGAATTTGCCATTCTTCTGTCTCAACCTCCTGAGCTACTGGGATTCCAGGCATATGCCCCTACACCCGGCTCTGGCTGTAGCTTTGATTCGAATTTCTTTGACTCTCATGTAAGTTGGTCACTTCTATTTCTTCTGTTGAAAAATGTTTAATTATTTCATTTGCCTACTTATTGACTGATTTGTTTTTTAGTATTAAGTTTTTTTAATTCTTTGTATATTCTAAATATTATTATTAATACTCTGCCAGAAGAGTAGCTAGCAAAGTTTTCTCCCACTTGGTTATGTTCTCTCTTCACGTTCTTTTTTTTTTAGTTATAGATGAACACAATTCCTTTATTTTATTCATTTAATGTGGTGCTGAGGATCAAACCCAGTGCCTCACATGTTCTAAGCAAGTGCTCAACCACCAAGCCACAACCCCAGCCCCACATTCTTGTTTCTTTTGCTGTGCATAAGCTTCCTAATTTAATGCCATCAGACTCACTAATTCCTGGTATTATTTCCTTAGCCCAAGTCCTATTATGGAAGTCATTACCTGCAACCATACTTTGAAATGTTGACTCTACATTTTCTTCCAGAGTTTGCAAAGTTTCTTGTCTAATTTCTAGGTCTTTGATATATTTTGAGTTGACGTTTGTGCAGGGTTAAATAGGAATTTAGTCTTATTCTTCTACACATGGATATCCAATTTCCCCAGTAACCTCTGTTATAAAGGCTGTGTTTTATCCAATGTATGTTCTTGGCACCTTTGTCAAGGATCAGATGAACAGATGTATGGATTCCTGTGTGTCTTCTATTCTGTACCATTGGTCTACATGTCTGTTTTTATGTCAGTAGCATGCAGTTTTTGTTACTATTGCTCTGCAGTGTAATTTGAAGTTGGGAATTGTGATGCCTCCAGCATTGTTTTTTTGGCTTAGAATGACTGTGGCTATCCTTGCATCTTTTATTCTTCCAAATAAATTTCAGGACTATTTTTCCCAGTTTTGTGAAGACTGCCCTTAGTATTTTGATAGTAATTGCACTGTATATAGCTTTTGGTAACATGGCCATTTCAGCAGCATTAATTCTACTTATCCATGACATGGGAAGTCTCTTCGTCATTTTCCAGTGTCTTCTTTAATTTCAGTCTTTTAACAGTTTTCATTCTAGAGATCTTTCACCTCTTTGGTGTTGTGTTGTGTTTTGTTTTTTAAATTCCTAACTTTGGGGGGTTTTTGAGGCTATTGTGAATTGTTAGAGTCTGTAAACAAGTCAGGATGGCTCCTGGCATTTTGCCAGAGAAATGTTAGAGTCTGTAAACAAGTCTGGATGGTGCCTGGCAAAATGCCAGAGGGAGTGGTTTGTGAAGTAACACCAGCGAGCCATTAAGTGTAGAGATTCCTTATTGGTTGACTGATGTATCTAGTTTATGCTAATTAGATAAGCTGTGTGGAATGTATAAATACTGCTCCTGTCCTACAATAAACGGCTCCCATTCCTGCTGTATCAATCTACACAAGTTGTTCGTCACCCCCCCGGTTATTTTGCTGCAGCCGGACTGCGGCAGTGAATGGGACTGTTTTCCTGCTTTTTTTCTCAACAGATTTGTTATTGGTGTATAAGGAAACTATTGATTATGTATGTTGATTTTATATCCTTTTGCTCTCAATTTTCAAATAATGAAACTCCACTTGTAAATACAAGAGTATGACATTCATTTCCTTACCATATAGATATGTCAAATTATTACCTTCTTAACACTTGCAGAAAAATCAGCTACTATTTTTAAAATATTGTTGGTTTCAGGAAAGTCCTTACAAATATAAGGTTCTTCAGCACATATCACTCTGATTGCCAGGCCAGGACCTAGGAAATAACAATAGTATTTAATATAAATTTTTACATTTAATATAAAAACACCAAAAAAATTAAAATTAAAATGCCATTATTCCAAAAATATAAAATTCTTATAAAATGAAAATCATAAGGGAGCTGGGGTTGTGGTTCAGTGGTAAAGTGCTCACCTAGCACATGTGAGGCGCTGGGTTTGATTCTCAGCACCACATAAAAATAAATAAATAAAATAAAATATGACAAAAAAATGAAAATCATAAATTTTTGTTTTGTTTTTCAGTGTTGGGGATCAAAAACAGATGTTCATACATGATAGGCAAGTGCTCTGCCACTGAGCTATATCCCTGGCCCAAGTAAAGTTTTTAAAGAATTTAATTTCAGGATTGGGCGTATAGCTCAGTAAAAGAGCCCATGCTTAGCATTTGTAAGGTCCTGGGTTCAATACCCAGTTCCAGAAAATAAATTTCAAATCACAAAAATTTTTAATAAAGGAATTCTCTAACATACACAAAATTAAAGAGAACAGTGTAAAGAACCACATGATATTCATTATCCAAATTCAACTACTAAAGAAAAATAGTATGCTCTTTAAAATAAATAATGACAGTGTTGAATTCAGAGAGTTGTGAACCACTAGTATTTCTAGTTTACCAAATACTTTCTTTTTTTCTATTTTACTAAATACCAAATACAGGTGATTTAAAAAAAAAAAAAAAAAAAAAAGACAGGTATACATGGATCTCATAAAAACTAGATTCTGTTGCTTTTCTACAACAGAAAAAAATATGACTTAAGGTGTCTGGTTGTAGGTGAAACCATAGCAATTAACTATCAATCATCCTTACTCTCATTCCTCAGCTTATTTTAAGTTGTTTTTAAAGCAGCAAAATCCTTTTGCCAGAGAAATTTTATAGGACAGAAAACACAAAATATAAAGTAGATTTTGAGAAAATCAAATGAGCCTACATGAAATGACAACCAAGGACAAAGGACTAATTGACTACCCTCCACTAACATTAACCAACCATCTTTCACCAGCCTACAAGTTGTGGACTAAAGATGTGAAATTGCTAAGCTTGATAATGTGCTATTCACCACATAGGTTAGACACTTTAATTACTGTTTGTGGAGGCAGTTCAGTGATTAAGAACAGAAACTTTGATGTAAAGACTATTGAGGATATAACCCTGACACTAAACCTTCTATTTTGTGTAACTTAGGGCAAATTAGACTCATCCCTACTGTCCTCATCTGGAAAACAAGGTAATACTATTTTCTATTGTGAGGATCAAATAAGAATGTTTGAAGTATTTAGCAGAGTGCACAGTACATCAAAAGTACTCATGAAATAGTAGCTATTACTATGTTTTTAATTAGACCATTCTCCCAACTTACCACCTACACGACTACAGAAAGCAAAAACTTGAGATTTCAAGACTTGCCAAAGCTCAAAATAGGTTAAGACTCTCAGTCCTAACAAATAAATCTAGTGTTTTTTTGTGATGACAGTCAAATGACTATCTAGAATTTTGTTGTTGTTCATGAATTAGTTACACAGAGCATTGTGCAAAGAGTTTTGCAGGTGAATGAAGCAGTCCAACCATTCAGACATGGATAATAATGTAAGAGCACCAAGCCAGCCACAGTGGCATATGCCTATCATCCTAGCTGCCAGCCTGGGAAAGAGTTTATTTTCACTTCTGTAGAACACATCAGGATACATCGTATGAAGAACATATAAATCCTACCTCAACCATAAGGATTGAGTGGCAATGTTATTAAAATATGCTGGACTCCCAAGGATCACATAATATCTAAATACAAATATAGTAGAAAATGAGCATTTAATAAAATAAATTTAGTAGATATCCAACAGAATTTGTTCTCAATCCTTTTCTTCCTCATATTAAAAACTCCTCAAAATGATAAATTATTCAAAATTGATTTTTCTTTATCATGAAGGTCTAAAGACAAATAAAAGAAAATCAATTCTGTTTTTTACCTGGAAAGGGATGTCTGGAAACTAAATCTTCTGGAAGTCCAAGTTCTCTGCCTAAAATTCTCACTTCATCTTTATGAAAATCTTTCAGAGGTTCTATTACTTTTCCCTAAAGGAAGGTGGAAAAGCCAGTCAACATAGTTAGCAATCAAAATAAGACAGAAAACAATGGGAAATAAGTAAACAGTATTCCTGTTGGCATTTTCCTTAGCTTAAAGCATTGTCTTTAAAAACACATCTTTTCAACTGGTGATGTAGTTCAAAGGTAGAGCACCTGCCTAGCATATGCAAGAACCTGGGTTCAATTCCTAGCACCACAAAAACAAACAAAAACATTCACTTCTTAAAGTATTTCCTCCTATGTGCACACAAGGAATCAGATGAATATTTCAGTGGTATATGTACTTTTCTCTAAAGTACATTTAAAACTTAAAATATTTAAAATAAAAATCACACACCTACCACCACTCATCTTGCCCTCAAGGCAAATAGAAAATATCACACAATATTTCAATATTAAAATCCTCCAAATGAAGCTGGGCACAGTGGTGTACACCTATAATCCCAGCTGCTCCGGAGGCTGAGGCAGGAGGATCTTGAGTTCAAAGCTAGCCTCAGCAAAAGTGAGGCGCTAAGCAACTCAGTGAGACCCTGTCACTAAATAAAATACAAAATAGGGGTCACATCATCCTGCGCGGGACTCAGGCTCACAGCAGGCCTAGGTCCATCCCCTCCACCGGTGGGGCAGACACCCACCGGGGCCCAGCCTCTGACACAGGACCGCCCCTTCCGACCAGCAGACAACTGTGGGAGGTTCAAGCCTTAACACAGGCCCAAGACTACCACAGGAGCCCAGGCCTGGCCCAGATCCACCCACACGGACTTGCACAGGACCCAGGTCCAGGTGTGCATTTATTTATGGCCTGATTTTCTAATGAAGAAAACCTGATTGGCAGAAGCCCTTATTGCATTTTAAAAATACAAATCAAGTTGTGTCACAGCAAGTCAGTGGGCTCAATTTAAATGCTTTTCTTTCTTTTTTGAAAGATAACGCAGATATTTTTATTTTTATTATTTTAAACTAATGTAAAAGAAAACTTGCTTCAATTACTAATGATGACAATGTATTGTAATAACCAAGCTGTTTAAAAAAAATTACAAACTAGGGCTGGGGATGTGGCTCAGTGCCCAAATTCAATCCCCATTACTGCCTCCCCACCCAAAATTCTCCAAATGATAAGATGAAACATCAACTCACAAAATGGGAGTATATATCTAATTTAAAGACTAATAACTGGGATATATATAAGGAACACTTACAAATCAATAACTTTAAAAAGGTCAATTAAAAATGAACAGACATTTCTTCAGGATACATAAATGACCAATATACCCATGAAAAAGTATTTAACATCATCAGCAACTGGAGATAAGCAAATCAAAATCACAATTAGGTACCAATTCACACCCACTGGGATAACTAAAATCAAAAGCAACCACCCATGGCTACCACTAAACGAACAGAAAATAACAAATGTTGGTGATTATGTGGAGAAACTGGGAACCTTCCATAATTTTAGTTTGACTGAAAAATGGGGTAACTGCTATGGAAAATAGTATGGAGGTCCCTCAATAAAGTTAAAAATATGACTATCATGATCCAGTAATCTCGATTCTGGGTATACATGCAAAACAACTGCATGTACATGTACGTGTTCAAATGGCACATTAACTGATAATATTTGACAGATGGAGTAACCCAGATAACCACCAATGAATAGATAAACAAAATGTAGCACCTGCACACAAGGTGTGTTATCCAGATGCAAAGAGGAAGATGATGCTGTTGTGCCCCACGTGGATAAACCTTAAGAACATTATGCCAGTTCTGCAGGATGAAGAAGTTCCACAGATTCACAACAATATGAATATACTTAACTCTACTGAATTGTATACTTGAAAATGGTTAAGATAGTAGATTTTATGTATTTTTATCACACACACACAAAAGACAGTTAAGAACAAATCTTGGTGAGGATATGGAAAAACTGGGACCCTCACACACTGCCAGGGAGAAGGTAAAATGGAACAGCCATTGGATAGCAGCCTGGCGGTTCATCAGAGTTACCACATGACCTAGCAATTCTACTCCTGGGCACACCCTAAAAGAAATGAAAATATACATTCACCAAAATCTATACACAGCATCACTTTAACACTAAAAGGTGGAAATGACGCAAAGGTCCACCAGCTGATGAATGAATAAATGCAATTCTGCATGATGGAATATTAGCAATGAAAATAAAGCTCTCAAAATAAAAATAATGAAAATAAACCTTGAAAATATAATGTAAGTGAAAGAAGCCAACCACAGAAGATTGCATATTGTATGATCTGATTAGACAAAACATCCAGAAAGGACGAAACTGTAGAGACAGAAAATAAATTTGTGGTTGTCTAGAGCAGGCAAGAGCGGGCAGGGGAATGGTTCAGGCAGAATTCAGGTCAACTGCTGAGTATGAGGTTTCTTGGGGGGGGGGGGGGGGGGGCAAAAATGTTCTAAAATCAGATTGTGGTGATGATTGTTGTACAACCCTGTGAGAACTAGGAGGGAAGAAGGACGGGGAAGAGGCAGAGAAGGTATCGTCGGCATCACTGTAAGTCAAGAATCCTCTCAACCTTACCTCTTCTCTCAACTTTCTGATGAGCTCTGTGTCATTGTGATGGGTTTTGATGAGCTCAGCTTTGCCACTGGCAACAAGGGATGCACTTTCAATTAGATCAGGTCGTAAAGTACCTTGGGCAAGGAAAACCTCCTCTGGCTTCAGATTCATCTCTCCAATTACCTCATTGGCAATCTATAACCAACAAGAGTGAAACAGCCTTACAGGTGAATCTTCTTAAAAAGACAGCAACATTTTATACTTAAGCTGAATGATTCAGTCTTTTGCCATACCAACCAGGATATTAAATTCACCAGCGTTTAAGAACATATGCTTCATCATTCAAAAAGTAGGTGAACTTCAGGAGCTTGAAATCTAGCTAGAGATACCCAATAAATTAAAATCCAGTATCACCTGAAAACATCTATTTTTAAATTTTAAACAATAACCTGGCAACATACATGTTTTTAAACATCAGTTTCTAATAATTTGTAAAAACAATATGTAAAAGTCTCAGCCACAGAAATAGACATCTAAAATTAGCAATTTTTTAATCCGACACAATGACAAAAAAACAAAACACCAAAAAACTAGAATACCAAGATCCACATAAAAAATAGCCCAGGGACACAAAAAAGAAAGGTACCTTAACAAAAGTGTCACCAATGATTTTTCTTTTCTCCTCAGGACTTGTAGTCATATTTAATGTTTTGCTAATTCTTTTTCGAGGGGTCCTGTCTTCATCTGATATTGGTAAAGTAGTTGTTCCATTGTAGAAGGAATGAGCAGCATTAATCACTGAGGGAGGGGAGATAAGTGTTTTAACCAAGAGACTAAAAATTATAAGTAACAAGTTAAACAACAGAAAACCTAGGTGGCTCCTCTGATCTCCCCTAAACTTGCCTATTTGTTCAAGAACTTTCAAGCCGGGGCTGGAGTTGTGGCTCAATGGCACAGCGTGTGCCTTGAATGTGTGAGGCCCTAGGTTCAATCCTCAGCACCATATAAAAATAAATAAAGGTATTGTGCCCATCTACAACTACAAAAATATTTTAAAAAAGAACTATCAAGCCAGCCAGGCACAGTAGTGACCACTTGTAATTCCAGCAGCTCAGGAAGCTGAGGCAGGAGGGTTACCAGTTGGGAGGCCAGATGAGGCAACTTAGCAAGACCCTGTCTCTAAATAAAAAAATAAAAAGGGCTGGGGATATACCTCAGTGGTAAAGCACCCCTGGGTTCAATCCCTAGTACCAGAAAGAAGAGAATAAAGGGGGAGGGCACAGCTCCATAGCAGGAGTAAAAACAGAAGCAGGCCACACAGGCCTCACCAATGAATCTGTGGGTCTTTCCCTTTCCTTGGTCCCTTACCCAAGCAAAAACACCTCCAAACTCCTGTTTACCAGCATTCCAGCTGTGGGACAGAGGATGTGCCAGGAGGCAATCAGTCTTCAGCATACATATTTTTACTTAAACCTCTTCACAGTACTACACCCAGTACACCAAGCCAGAGAAAAAAATTCAGTCTTCCAACAGGGAAGGAAAGCAACACTTTGTTCCTATATTCAGGAAAATGATGTACTTCTCATATTTTCAACGAACTACTACTTAGGCTCATCCAGAGACCTGTGTCCCAAAGGAGCCCAAGGCTTCCAACTCCTGAGCTCTCCCCAAAGTCAATAGTGCTGAGAGCCATAGCCAAGTCAGAATGATGCATTGCCAGAACTCGAGTGGTTGAGAGGTGAAGCCAGCAAGCCATTGAGATAATGATGGTTATGTTAAGCTGTGTATTCAATTGTATATTAGACCCCTGCTGTCCGCCTCAGCCTGCTACTTTGGAGTTCTTGCGGATTCCTAGAGAGCTCCCATTGGTTGGGGAAGTGCCAGAGGAGGGATTTTCCGGTTGGTGTGTGGTGTGTCCCAGGAGAAGGCTGCGTGCTGGAGTTCCTGCTTGAGTGGCTCGCGGATTTTTGCCCAGCCAGACTGCGGCACAATAGCACTGACCTGCTTGCTTTTGTTGTAGGCTTTCCCCCATCTCCTCCCCCAGGACTCTGAATTCCTCATACTACTACACTGACCACCAAGGACAGGTTTGTGTGGGTTATTAAAACTTCTACAATTTGAAGACCCCCTTCAAGAAAGAGAATAATAAATAAGATACCTTAAATATCACAAGTCACACTAGAAAGACTAACAAGAGCTTGGATGCACACAGAAATAATTAGAAATCATATATATACCACTAAATCCAAACTAAATATATCTCCAGCTCAATGTTTTCTTAGCCTGATCCCAAAAGGCCTATAGCCAGCCATGCCTGTACCACCCACCAGAGAATAAATTTGAATGGACAGAGATAATAAAGTCAACCAAATACAAATTACTAAAATATTTGCCAATTTCGCAAAAACATGGTCCTGTGAAGATGCTGCTGGGGTCCTCCCCAGGATTTTGCAAGAGGGCTGACTAGTCGGGGCCTCTCAAGCTTAACTCCTTTCACTTAGCTGAGGAAATCCAGCAAGGCCTGTTTTCTACAGTCCAACAAATCCTCTGTCTGCTATACCTGTTCCTTATCTTGCAACACTTGTACTTGCTTTATGTGTGCACTGCTATTTTAGTGAATTTCGAAAAGATAGAATTATGAAAAACCTTTTTTGAAGAGTTTTTAAAAGAAAAAATTATTAAGTAGACTGTGTCTACTTCATACTTACCTACAAGTCTTCATTTTACACTCAACCTTTTGCCTTCAATTCTAATTAATTAAACAATATTTACAATTTGTATTATTAAACTACTGAACTCATTTCACTGTAACCATCAATAATACCTTTGAGTATAAATGATATCCACAAATGTCAATATCACTAAGGACTAGAAGTCTGCTGGTGGTTACGATTGCCCTTTAAAAGTATGAGAGATTGTGGATTTTTTTTAAATATCTTTTTAGTTGTAGATGGACACAATACCTTTATTTTATTTGTTTATTTGTATGTGGTGCTGGGGATCGAACCCAGTCTTCACGCATGCTAGGCAAGCACTTACCACTGAGCCACAACCCCGGCCCTTTTTTTTTCTTTTTAAATGAGGTCTTCCTATGTTTGCCCAAGCTGGATCCAAACTCCTGGGATCAAGTGATCCTCCTACCTCAGCCTCCTAAGTAGCTCACACTACAGGTGCATACCACAGTGCCCGGATGACTACAGACCTAAATCCTTCTTCTCTGTACAAGCCTTCCTGTTTGCAAAATAATCTGTGTATTTGTACCTGTTGTAAGAGGGCTTGGGCATTCTCATGCAAGAATAACAATACAAAATCATTTGGGGAAATATAATTTAAGAGGGAGCATGACTAGAGAACAGAATGACAGCTACAAAATGGTTAACTTACCCATTTAGCATAACTAGTAGAAATCATCACTTCTGAAAATTTATACAGGGAACACTCTTGAACCAGAGGTAATTATAAAATAGAAATACGAAACATTTTCAACTTCGAGCTTATGGGAAAACTACAACTGGTTAAGGCAATGTGCTCCGTTAAGCCACAAAGCTTGGTCCCATTAAACAAATCCCGACAGGTAAATTCACTTTTCTTTGGCCCACTAATACCTTTGACCTGAATCCCAAGCTTTTTGAGGGCTTCCTCCACAGACTGGCTTTCTCGTTTCCTCATGAAGCCATTATCAATGTGCACAGCAATGACTTGATCTTGGTTCAACGCACGATTCAGCAAAGCTGTACAAACCGTTGAGTCTACACCACCACTGAGTAAAACCTACAAAGGAAAATAAAGGGGGAAAAAATCAAACTGAGCAAAATAAACAGAAAGGAAATAAACACCATCCCTTCCCCAGATCCTCCCTAGAAGCACAGTTTGTATTAAAGATATTAACAAACAAGTGCTGATGAGCAATGCAGCACACCCGACTCACCCAGTCAACACCCAAGGCTGTTAAGAAATCCAGCTATGGATTCCAACATCACCCACATAACCATGTAGCGTTGTCAGATGATAACTGCTTACCAAGACTTTTGATGTGCCAACTTGCTCTTTGATCTCCCGAATGCATTCACGTTCTCTGTTCTGCACAGTGAAGGTCCCACTGCACCCAGCAATATCATAAAGGAAATTCTTCAATATTACTTTCCCATTTTCTGTAAGGCCAACTTCAGGATGAAACTGTGCTCCGTATAATTTTTTAGACTCATTTGCTATACCTTTATAGAAAAAATAATCACAATTTTTTTTTCAGGTTGCAAAGACTCAACCAATACCCATAATTCATCCTCAAAAATCTCTCTAAAAATGTTTAAACTAATGTACTTTACTGGACCTTTATAGTTACATGGAAAGACAAAACACAAAACAAAATGACATTGCCACAATCTTTAAGGTTTCTTTTCTTTAATATAACAATGAATAAGCTATAGTACATTGCAATGAGTCTTCAAGAGTACACTGAGTTTCACAGTACTGTCACTTCTCCACCAATACTTTATTTTTTTAATGTTTTTTAGTTGTAGTTGGATACAATACTTTTCCTTCAACCATCTATTTTTATGAGGTGCTGAGGATCGAATCCAAGGCCTCACACACACTAGGTGAGCGCTCTACCACTAAGCCACAACCCCAGCCCCTCCACCAATAATTTAATTGTCATGCAGTTAATGCAATAACTTAATTTTGGTTCTTCGTCCCATATGGCTTTCACATAAATGTGCAATGGCCAATTTCTTATATAAATGGAATCTCACAATTAGCATTTCAGAACACTTTAAGTGTTTCTCTTGGATGCCATTCCAGTGTCAGTCCTTCCCCCACTCTTCCCCTCATTGTACTGTCCCCTCATTGTACTGTCACCTTGAAATTAGATCAAGTCTTTCCTTTGTTCAAAGCCTCACCTAACTAAAAAGAGTGGAAGACTACAATGGGTCAAAAGTCCTGTGCAGTGGACCACAATTACCTAATCTCTACCTTGAACCACTTCCTCCACGTTACTGTGCTCTATGTTGTCTTCCTTTTTTTTTTTCCTCCTTGCAGGGGGAGTCAGGGGGTACCAGAGATTGAACTCAGGGTCACTTGACCACTGAGCCTCATCCCCAGCCCTATTTTGTATTTTATTTAGAGACAGGGTCTCACTGAGTTGCTTGGCACCTCGCTTTTGCTGAAGCTGGCTTTGAACTTGTGATCCTCCTACCTCAGCCTCCTGAGCTGCTGGGATTACAGGTGTGTACAACCTCACCTGGCTGCTCTATATTGTGTTAAATGTGGTCCCATCCCAGGGCCTCTCAACTACTATTTCTTCCTTCATCAGATATCAAGAGTGGTCACTTCATCTTCTTCAGGTCCATTCTGTCTTATAAGAATACCTTCTCTGAACATCCTAGATAAAACAGTCATGTGCAAGCCAGGGGTGGTGGCACATGCTTGGAATCCCAGCTACTTAGGAGGCTGAGGCAGGAGGATCTCAATTTCTTAGTGCTTCAGCAAAAGTGAGGCACTAAGCAACTCAGTGAAACCCTGTCTCTAAATAAAATACAAAAAATAGGGCTGGGGATGTGGCTCAGTGGTTGAGTGTCCTTGCATTCAATCCCCCCACCCCCATTAAAAAAAAACAGTACCATTCCTAATCACCTTCTGCAACACCCCCCCACCTGTTTTTGATGTTCACACTATCTAACAGCTCACCTATTCTGCACTGTGTTGTCTACCCTCCCCACTCCCCAGGTTTCTGCCCATTTTGTTCATTCCTGATCCTTGACACCTAGAATGTGCCTGACACAAAATAGGTAGTCAAATCTGTTAAATGAATAAAAACACTGAGCCCACCCTCCACTGTACAGCTTTTACATGAAGAGGACAACTGTTCCTGATCACTCCTCTGCTAAAGTATGAGTTCTTCGAGTGAGTGCAGGCAGATTACTCGACTCAGTTCATCCATGACAAATCATTTCTAAACTTATCAATTAGGTTTGGCAACTCAAACAAAAAGAGCTTTATTGGGCTGGGACTGGGGCCTAGTGTAGAGCACCTGCCTAGCACATGGGGTCCTCAGCACCACATAAATAAATAAAATAAAGCTACCATGTCTGTCTACAACTAAAACTACACATATATATAATAAAAAAGAGCTTTATTGACAAAGGCATTTTTTTCTTTTACTGATTTCCAAGGATATCAGTGATTATATAACAATTTTTAAGTAAGCAAGTCCAAACTCTGAACTGCCAAAATCCCTCTTCCTCAAAAAAAGTCGAGCATAAAAATAGTTTCTAGAAAGGACAAGACACTGAATTAAAGTATGAAGACTTGAGGGACATATAGGGTTCCTGGGTTTTATTAAAGCCCATTAATAACATAAAAACCACCCTTATATGGACACCCCCAAATCTAGGATACACGCTGGATTTGACCCACAGGTCACAGCTGGCCAATCCTGGTTGAGAAAAAAGTCTTTGAATGCTTTGGTATTTTGTAAAAATCCATTTAAAAGGCATTAAAAACAAGCAACTGTGAAAACAGCATGGAAAGAGGAGAGGCAATGTTTCCTGAGTTATGCAGTACAGTGATCTATAGTTGAAAAGCTTCTACTAGGACAACCTTTGTCAAAGTGTTTTAAAGTAAGCTAGATAATTCTTCCAATATTAAATTCCCTACTAATTAACAGTTTATCTTGCCACATCTGCAATATCTTTAAAAAATAAGATCAAAGAGGACAACACACAGAAACATATGCATACTCTGCAGATATGTAGATGAGATCTACAAATGTAAATTTCTACCTGCTACAATGTTCCCAGAACGTGCCACAACCTTAAATCCATCAGCTACTTTGTCAACACTATCTCCATGAGTAAGCAGAACAATTTCTTCCTTTTGAAGGCCCCTAAACATAAAAAAGTAAAACATCACGAATCTCAATTATAAGTGATTAACAGACTCTTTTGCTTTAGAAATGACATGCGTGGATCAAGAAAATAGATGTAAGTATATATACAGTGCAACACAGTTGGAATTCAAATTTATTACATATAAGGCAAATAGAGTATATCAAATCTTAACAAAAAACTAAAAAGGAAATCCATAAAAACTGAGAATATGTGAAGTGGTAGTTTAACCACACACAAAATAATTTCTGGAGTCTATGAAACAAAAATTTCGATATTACAACACAAATGGGTTTAACTTAAGAGAAATATTTCAAAGACCTTCATGCTTCATTCAGCAGCATGGTAGTCGTACCAAGAATGACAGTACTAACACTGATACTTCTATCCTACAGCTGTATGTAAATACAAATATATGTGTATTGTCAGTTTAAAAAAAACATAACTATTGTAATCCCATAATCTAAATGTTCAGCTTAAGAGTAAGGAGATTAAAAAAATTAGAGTTAGGTAAAAACTATAATCTGTCATTTTAATTAGAAATTATATATACTGATAATTTTCTCTTTCTAAAAGAAAACATACCGCGTCACTCCATTCATTGAAAAGTCCTACAAACAGTAACAAACTTGTAGCAACATGGACCTCCAGTGCCAAGTGAATCAGGGACAATTAAGGGGGGAGGAGCTACTATAGATAAAGAGACTTACATAACATTATACACATATAATGTGTAGATTTTCTCTGGACCCTGAGTTAGTCAGACCAATATGAAAAGATACTGCTTACATTACAGGAAAATTTGAATGAGAACTTGGTATTAAATAATGGTAGGGAATAGCACATGAACCAGAAAGACAGGAAAAAAGATCTCTTAATTTATGTATAAAACTTCTTGTGCAGGCACAAAGTGCAGAAAATCCAAAAAGAAAAGGAGAGACTAAAATATAAGTGTCTGGTCTTTTAAAAAAACAATGAAAATTCAAGCCAATCAATGATTTGAGGAAACTTGTAAGCAGCTCATTCACTTTTGGATGGGTGGGGCTGGGGAGAGAAAGGTGGGTTGAACCCAAGACCCTGCGCATGTCAAGCACACACTCCCCTCACCAACAAGCTGCATCAGCAGCCATCATTCATCAAGTTTTAAATAGATTAGAACTACCAGCAATCTTATTACCTAGCAACAAAACCAAACGCATTCATCACATTAAAAAGACTGTACCCAGGCCACAGTTCTGCCTCCACATAAAGAAGGTGAAGGAGGAATAAAGAGTCCGCAAATTGAATGGCTTGTTAAGAATCAAGAAACAAAGGAGTGCATGCCTGGGGCAGTGGCATATGCCTGTAATCCCAGCAGCTCAGGAGGCTAAGGCAGGAGGATCATGAGTTCAAGGTACTAAGCAACTCAGCAAGGCCTTGTCTATAAATAAAATATAAGAGAGGGCTGGGGATTTGGCTCAGTGGTTAAACACCCCTGGGTTCAATCCCAGGTACCAAAAAAATTAGGGAAAAAAATAAAAGGTGTGCAGAAGGAGGTATGTGCCACCATACAGTAGACACAGGACAGTTTAAGTCATGACTCACTTGCCACATGTGGCACACTAACATATAAGATCCACAAATGCTGGAATCACATGACAAGGTGCTAAACCACACAGGGGCCTTGAGGGCACTTCCTAAATATTCTTCTTAGTCCTAACTAGCATCCGGCTAGCCTGTGCTGCCTTGACATGCACCTGGGAGGCACACACAGCAAGCTTAGGGGCCGAAGAGGATGAATTACAGAGTCTCCAATTTTGAACAATAATATCAACTTTTTAGTTAATCTACAACCTTTATTCTTCTAAAAATACCTGAACAATGAGCATGTATTGTCCACACTGATGTTGAAGACTCCATCTTCTCTAACACTTTTTTTGTGCACCGTACCTCCAAATACCTTATTCATCATCTATTCAAAGAGAAAATTAATTGATGTTAATATGAAAAGAAAAACACTCATTGTTATGCTGATTTAATCATTTATATTCTGTTTTCCAGATTATTGTTATATTTGTATCCCCAAAATACAGGGAGTTTGATAAATGTAGATAACTTTATATTTTACATATAATTATATAGTCATTAAAAAGCATGATTATAACAAAATTAGATTAGAAATTTGACCTGAGGTTAATTTCTGTTAAACACTGGAAGACTTTCTACTTAATATACTTTAATTAATTCATCTTTTAAAAATAGTAATTTTGGTATTTAAATCACTTTAATTTAAAAAGTGACTGAAACTCGGTGTGGTGGCTCACATCTATAATCCCAGCGGCTTGGGAGGCTGAGGCAAGAGGATCACAAGTTCAAAGCCAGCCTCAGCAATGGCGAGGTGCTAAGCAACTCAGTGAGACCCTGTCTCTAACTAAAACCCAAAATAGGGCTAGGGATGTGGCTCAGTGGTTGAGTGCCCTTAGTTCAATCCCTGGTTCTTAAAAAAATAAAAATAAAAAAAGTTACTTTGAGCTGAGAAGAAAAGCAGAAATCACAAATTTAGACAAGTGTAAATTCCTCCAAGCTTTTAATTCTTTGGCACCAAAGGAGCCGTCTTAAAGTTACAGGAACTGTACTGCAGATGGGGTCAGCAAGAAAATCCAGCCTTTCAATCAGCAATCTGTTCAAATCCCATACACCTACAGACTTCTTAATTCAAATGATTTCTTCATTCCACCCTTCCTTATGTTCACCTTCTTTAATTTTTTTTTTTTGTATTGGGGATTTAATCCAGAGGTGCTTCACTACTGAGCCACATCTCCAGCCTTTTTTATTTTGAGACAGGATCTCAATAAGTTGCTTAGGGCCTTGCCAAATTGCTGAGGCTTGAATTCAAGATCCTCAGCCTGCCTCAGCCTCCCAAATTGCTGGGATTACAGTGTGCACCACCATGGTAGGCATTCTTTTTATTTTTCCCATATAACCCGAACCCTCCACCCACACTAAACACACGTAAGATTGTGCAAACCTCAAATCTGCACTGCCAGACTCGCTTCAACTCAGTCTGCCTTCTGCACAGCAGAAGCCTAAGATGGTGGCCTGCCACGAGCCACAGATACCTGCCCTGCAAGGTGAGAAAGGCAAAACACAGGCTGACCAGCCCCCCACAAAGAAGCAGGCAGAGAGCTAAGGAAACACTCATTCCTAAAACTCAGAGAGGAGTATTCTTCAAAACCCTTAGCGAATGCTGCCACCTCTATAATCTCTCCTAGGGATTCACACTAAATCTGACCACAATAAAGCTTCAGATTACATCTAGCAGTAAAGGAACACACTTTGTCTAACCTGGGATTTTTCAAACTAAAAACTCAGACATATAAAACTTTCTACAACAGATTGGTTAACATGCAATTTAGGAAACACTGGTGGTGCCTTTGGGGTTTCTATTTTGTCTCTGGGGAGCAGACATAGAGTCTCTCTACTTCCTGGGTGCTACTTCTAGAGCTGCTTTCCTCCACCACACCCTTCTGCCATCATGTGCTGTCCCACCTAAGACCCAGAGCAATGGAATTGACTGACCCTGGACTGAACTCTGAAACCAAGAGTCAAACAAATAAAGGCATGCTGCCCATATATATAACTACAAAAAAATTTTTAAAAAGGCAGTTCAGAGAAATGAGTAAAAGTCACAAATAAGCCTTTACAGTAAAGAGGCGGCATGAGTGGCAAATAAACACACTAATAAGGAGAAAGAACATCCGGACTACAGTATCTTCCCTAAATGTGCAATACAAAAAAAACTAAGCTCTGGTCATGCCAAGGGTTGACAGGGATACAGACAGAAGATATTTTTATATACTACTGTAAAAAATGCAAAATTAGAAGATGACCAGGAACACAACTCTGTCCCATATGTTGAGATGTAGAAATAATTTGTATTATATTCAAATGAATTCAGTGAAAATGAATGACTTACAATTAAATGTATTAAAATGAATAAACCTCAAAACTGAAGCTAAAAATACAGGCAGTATGATTTCATGTATATAAAGGTCAATGAACAAAACTAAACATATTAGAGATATAAACATGAATATGGCTATACAGGAAGAGAATGGGGGCTGAGGTTGTAGTTCAGTGGTGGAACACTTGCCTCACAAGTGTGAGACACTGGGTTCAAACCTTAGCACCACATAAAAATAAACAAAATAAAAGCCAGGCATGGTGGTGCACCCCTGTAATCCCAGCAGCTAAAGAGGCTGAGGCAGCAGCAATGCCAAGGTGCTAAGCAACTCGTGAGACTCTGTCTCTAAATATTTAAATACAAAATAGGGCTGGGGATGTAGCTCAGTGATCGAGTGGCCCTGAGTTCAATCCCCAATACCAAAGAGAGAGAGAAAGAGAGAGAGAGAGAGAGAGAGAGAGAGAGAGAGAGAGAGAGGAGAGAGGAGAGAGGAGAGAGAAGAGAGAAGAGAGAAGAGAGACAGAATGGGTAAATTTCTGCCCAAAAGCCTAATTCCATTATCATACTATGGAAGTTCAGATAATCATAAAAGACAACATTTTTTACACATTCAACATCAGCAGGCCTGGCTTCTCTCACCATGACAGAAAAATCTGGTCTTGTAATTATACAGAAAACTGATGTAACGGGGAAGTACTAAGCCACTGTCTCTTACATTAAGGGATCCAATGATCTACACAGATTTCATAACAAGCAGATTTTTTTTAAAAAGTCTCATGAATGCCCCCCTTATATAATGTTATAACCCTCCCAACATTCCAGCAGCCATTCCACTTTAATTATCAAGTTGTATTACATAGTTAAAGTGGACCACTTGGGACCCGAGATCAATACATCACAAGCTGGGTGGGACAAAGGCATACAAAAGAAAACAGCCAATTTCCAATATTCAACTTAATCAGGATGCGAACTCTTCTAAGACTACAGATGGACTTTTCAGAGAACATTAAATTAGAAAAAAAAAAAATAGCGGGTACACAGTGGCACATAGGAATGAGACATAAGGATGGCAAGCTCAAGGCAGCCCCTGTTGCAATCTATTTTTAAAAAAGGGCTGGGCACCCCTAGATTGATTTCCCCCATATTACCACCAAAAACAAGGCAGAGGATACTAAATATTTACTATAATATATTTATTGGCTAGAAGATGATTCAGCAATTTGGCGAGGCCCTAAGCAACTCAGTGAGACCCTGTCTTTAAATAAAATATAAAAAAAGGCTTAGTGGTTAAACACTCCTGGGATCAATCCCTGGTAAAAATAAAAATATGGACTGGGGTTGTGGCTCAGCAGTAGAGCACTTGCCTAGCATATGTGAGGCCCTGAATTCGATCCTCAGCTCACCGCGTAATAAATAAATAAAATGTATTGTGTTCAACTAAATCTAAAAAATAAATACTGCTTCTGACATTTTGAAAAAGGCAAAACATGTAACTGTAACATGTCAATTAATAATAAATTACTTACAGACTAGTTTAGTTTCCTACCTAACTCAATTTTCAGATGATCTAATCAAGTAAGATACACTGTTAAAAATTCTTTTAACTAGATAACCATTTTTCTTATAATCACCAGTAATAACTTTTTGTAAAATTATCAATTTATATTCCTAGCCTCTTTGTAAATAAATCTTGATCAAAATCATCTCTGTTAAGTGAGAATCTCGCATGTTACTGACTCATTATTATTTTTCTATCATCCTAACCAATGACATTGAACTTACCTGGTAAACATATACTGTATAAACTTAAAGCAAGCTATATAAAGGCTCAAATCTAGAACACTTATATCACCAAATGCTGGCAAAAATGTGGCACAGAACTCTCATTTTAAAAAATGAAGTGCCTGTTACAAGGACTGGTATGTGAAAAATGTTGCAAAACTTCAAAGATCATGACTTATGAATCAGAGAATTTGTAGGGAAAACAAGCTCTACAAATGAGAACATCATGCCAACACATTTAAGGATGGTTCAACCCTATTCCACATGAGAGGACTCATAGCAGAGAGAAATTATACCAATGTAAAAAAAATGTGACAAAGTCTCCAACAGCTTTTTACACCTTACTCAACACCCGAGAATTCATACTGGTGAAAGATGGTACAAACGGAAAAAATGTCACAAAGCTTTACGCCACTGCTGAAACATTACTAAACACCAGAGAATTCACAGTGCATAGAACCCTAAGAATATAAAAAAATTTCTTCAAGTCTATATCCAAATTCCACGTTATTGTTTCCTTTACTGAGAAGCTTTTTAGTTTGAATCCATCCCATTTAATAATTCTTTTTTTTTTAGAGAGAGAAAGAATTTTAATATTTACTTTTTAGTTATCGGCGGACACAACATCTTTGTATGTGGTGCCGAGGATCAAACCTGGGCCGCACGCATGCCAGGCAAGTGCGCTACCGCTTGAGCCACATCCTAGCCCCATTTAATAATTCTTGATTTTATTTCTTGTACTTAAGGAGTCTGATAAAGGAAGTCAGGCCCAAACCAACATGATGAAGATTTGGGCCTACTTTTTTCTTCTATTAGGAGCAGGGCCTCTAGTCTAATGCCTAGGTCCTTGGTATACTCTGAGTTGAGTTTTGTGCATGGTGAGAGATAAGGGTTTAATTTAGTTTTGTTGCATAAGGATTTCCAGTTTTCCCATCACCGTTTGTTGAAGACGCTATCTTTTCTCCAATGTGTGTTTTCAGTACCTTTGTCTCTTTGTCTTCAATTTTGTACCATTGGTCTACAAGTCTATTTTGGTGCCAATACCATGCTGTTTTGTTACTATAGCTCTGTAGTATAGTTTAGGGTCTGGTATTGTGATGCCTTCTGCTTCACTTTTCTTGCTGAGGATTGCTCTGGCTATCCTGGGTCTCTTATTTTTCCAAATGAATTTCATGATTGCTTTTTCTGTTTCTATGAGGAATGTCATTGGGATTTTAATTGGAATTTCATTAAATCTGTATAGCGCTTTTGGTAGCATGGCCATTTTGATAATATTAATTCCTCCTATCCAAGAACACGGGAGATCATTCCATTTTCTGCAGTCTTAATTTCAAACTTTCTTCAACCTCCAAAACCTCATACATGTAAGTAAATGTAGTAAGGCATTTGTCCAAAATATATGCCTTAGACAACAGCAAAATATTTACCACAAAGACAAAACCTTGAAACTTAATTAAAAAAAAGTCCTTTCAAGACCTCACATTTTGATGTATATGAGAATTATTAACAGAAAGAAGGCATTTAAATATAGAAATTGGTTAACTGCTTTTAACTTTTGCTTAAAATTCATTAGATATCACTAGATAATGTGTTAGAAATAATGCTCACAAATTTCATTGTATACTGCAGACAGTTCATCTCTGAATGAATATAAAAAAAAAAAAAAAAAAAATCAAAGACTATTAAGTATCTTTACTTTTGAAAATTGGAGGAAACCTAATTCTTACAGTTCATTATATCAGAGGAAGACTTGTCCTGATAATTTTTAACTTGTGTTTTTGGAGATTTTATAGATTTTTAATTTTAATTTTTGTACAGAGGATTGAACTCAGGAGTGCTTAAACACTGACATCCCCAGTCCTTTTTTAAAAGAAGTTTGAGACATGTCCTACCTAATTTGCTTAGGGCCTCAGTGAATTTCTGATGCTGCCTTTGAAACCACAATTATCATGTGTCAGCCTCCCAAGTCACTGCAATAATAGGCACCTGCCATCATCATACACAGCTAACTATAAGATTTTACCATATTCACATTATTATGCTATATAATATATTATATATATATTCACACACAAAAAAGGTAGTTACTTTTCTGTAGATTCCCTATAAGGTCCATTCTATCACACTAGTATAGCAATTCATACACAGCAGTAATATGCAACCCAACTAAATAGAAATATGAATCATGAAAAGAATAAAATATAAGTGGACATCATAGCAAATTTATAGATGTACCTGCATGCCATAGCAAATCCCAAGAACAGGCTTGCCAATGGTGAATATTGCCGGGTCAAACCAGGGAGCATCTTCTGCATACACAGAATTAGGTCCTCCAGAGATGATAATGGCACTGCAGATTTAAGGAAGAGTCAGTGGATACTCCAGTAGAAACAATTTCTTTATATTCTCAGCAATTTCCCCTGAGATCCAGGAGAGGGCACTAATATCAATTTTGCCCCATTTTCTAGGCTCTCAGAATTTAGGCCAGTATTATAATTGGGCTACATACAACTTGTAGAGCATCCTCTGGGTTTTACTTAGCAGAGGAACTTTGTGAATAAAGAAGAGGTACAAACTCAGGTTATGTTCCTCACTTGGACACTGATCTTATTTTTATTTGGCCCTCAACGTTCACTCAAAAAAATTAAATCATTTTAATAATAGGAGTATCACTTAAATATTCATATTTCTTTATTTTTTTTTTAGAGAAAAAAAAAAATTCTGACAACACCAGGCCCCACTCCTCCAAGCTACAAGAGTGTAGTCACAGCAGCTTTGTTCCTTCAGACTGTACTGTGAAGGTTTGCCATACTTGGTGACTCACAACCAAGGCATACACGCGCCCTGTATGAAACTGAAAGTACCAATGGGTTTGCAGATAAATCCAATTCATCTAATTCAGTTTCAATTAAATTAATTCATCCAATTCATCTAAAAAAGACAAACTGCAAGATCTAACCAAAAGTCTACATAAACCTGGGTTAAAATTTACCCTTTACCTAGAGGCTGCCAGCCGTGTAAAGACATGAAATATACTGCTAAGCTTCTAATAATTCAAAATAACATAAAAAAGCAACTCAGTGGGCTGGGGTTGTGGCTCAGTGGCACAGCGCTTGCCTCACATGAGGCACTAGGTTCAATCCTCAGCACCACATAAAAATAAACAAACAAAATAAAGATATTGTGTCCAAGTATAACTAATTTTTTTAAATCAACTCCACAAGCTAGGGCATGCAAATATATATTAAAAAACAATATTCTTTGGGAGCTCAAAAATCACCCTCTTAACTCCGTAGGTAACATGAGATATAGTATTCCATGTTTCCTGTAAAAGAGAGGTGCAAGACAACCTACTCAAATAATAAATGTGAAGGGGTGTAGCATTAGCCCTACATGTAGATCTGTAACCTAGATCCTTAAAAATATAGAAGCTTAAATTCTATAAAACATTTTTAACATTCAATAATATCAGTAAGTTACTTTTAGTTTTGTAAAGGATAACCACCACCCTGGGACCACCCATGATCCTTCATTAACCTACTGAACAACTCAAGGAGATAAGATTCTTAGTACAATTAAAAATATGATGGCCTAAAGCCAGGATAAAACTTAAGCAGTACTTAAACCAATTATGAACCGTCTTATCTCAATAAATCTTGAGAAGATCTTTCCGAGTTCTCAATTCCTACTCTATTTTGAAACTAACTTGCAATTATAAGGCACAAGCCACAAGTCATTATAAATACCAATGCTATGTATTAGGCAGACCAAGATCTTTAAAACAATTAGAATGTCTCTCATGCCACAAACTAACATTTATTGTTCAAAGGGGTAGTCAGAGAGCAATGCCAGCAGGAGGATGACAGTGACCTGAAAGGCAAGGTGCTGTAGCTCCTCTCCCGTTGCAGAGAGCAGCGCTGGGTAGCTGCACCTAGCAACTGTTAGGAAGAACGCTTAAGAGTTTGGTGATCAAGCATTTGGGTCTCCATATTTTAAAACCTTTGTAGTCTGAGTTAATTTAACAGGGTATTTTTCTGTGTTTGACAGAATGTTTCTGATTTCTCAATTCTTACTGGTAAATCAAAGACAACAAAGTTAGATGAATTCAAGGATTCCTTCTTGCCCTACAACACATTTCAGAGAGAGTCATCTTTAATCTGTATCCTAAAACTAGAACAGAGTTAAGTTTAAGCCTGCCTTTTTGATTTCCAATTCATTCTACTTCAGAAACCAAAAATCTCACAGGATAGCATATACATATCTGTGAGGTCTTTAAAAATTCTTTGAACCATTTTTCACTTGAACAAATTAATTTTTTTAAGGAAAATAAAACACATTTGGGGGGCTGGGGATGTGGCTCAAGTGGTAGCGTGCTCGCCTAGCATGCGTGCAGCCCGGGTTCGATCCTCAGCACCACATACAAAGAAAGATGTTGTGTCTGCTGAGAACTAAAAAATAAATATTAAAATTCTCTCTCTCTCTCTCTCTTAAAAAAAAAAACACATTTGGGGAGAAGCACAGCATCTCCAATATTAGATTTAAGGAGAGTTACGGGCAAGAACTGCAGCCGCCTGCTTCTGGAAGACTCTTAACCAAGAAAGGTAAGCATGCCATAAGAAAAGGCACAGCACTCGCCAAAGTGAGGCACTGAAGGAAGGAACCACATATAAACCAAATGCTGCCTGACCACAAGGGTACAAGATGTTGCAATTGGCCCTTATATTAGACAAAGATCTAAAATTTTTTTCTTTGCTTTTACCCCAAATCAAAGTCATGGGAAATTTCTTGTAAAACCACTCTGCATGGTTTTCATTAAAAAATTCAGTGTCCAAGCAAACTAATAACAAAATATTCCATCCTACAAAGTCAAACCCCTCTTAAAAACATCAATGAAAAGTCTACCGGAATCCTTGTTCCTTTATGGCAAAGGCTGGTGTTTCCAAGGGGAATATTTCAGACTGCACGAAGAGTTCCCGCACTCTCCTGTCTATGACTTTCCCATACTGAGCACCGGCGTCCAAGATGACAACAGCTCCTTCGTAGTGGTGGCAGCCATCCTTGAGGTCTCCTCCAGCATTCTCCAGCTGCAAACATTGACACAAACATCTGAATTATGAAAATCACAGCTACTTAAGAAAAAGGGGGTGGGGTGGACAATATCAGCTCCAAAAAAACACTAAACTGATATCTTAGGACAATGAATTGCCAATTTAATTTTTCTTTTCTCTTTTTTTTTTTTTTCAGGACAAGATACTTTATTTATTTATTTTATGCAGTGCTGAGGATCAAACCCAGCGACTCACACATGCTAGACCAGCACTCTGCCATCAAGCTACAACCCCAGCCCATCTTTTAAAGGGAAGATTTGAATACATATCCATGTTATTGGCATCCAAACCAAATATGAAGACCAATGGAACAGAAGACACAGAGACAAACCCATGTAGTTATAGTCATCTGATACTCAACATAAGTATCAGATGCCAATAACATGTTGGAGAATAGACAGCCTTTTTAACAAATGGTGCTAGAAAAACTGGATATCCATATTTAGAAGAATGAAAATAAATCCATCTCTCTCACCCTACAGAAAATTCAACTCAAAGTGTTATCAAAGACCTAGGAATTAGACCAGAAACTGCAAGTTTCTGAATAAAACATAGGGTCAACACTCCAATACATTGGCACAAGCACTGATTTCCTTAGCAAGACATTTAAAGCTCAAGAAATAAAATCAAGAATCAATAAGTGGGACAATATCAAATTTAAAAGGTTCTGCACAGCAAAGGAAAGAGCATGAAGAGAAAACCTAAAGAAGAGAAAAATCTTTGCCAGGTACTCCTCTGAGAGGGAATTAATATCCACCATATATGCAGAACCCAAACTTTTAACACCATAAATAAATAGCCCAATCAATAAATGGACAAAATAACTAAACAGATATTTCTCAAAAGAAGAAATACAATGGCCAACAAATATATGCAAAAAATGTTCAACAACTCTAACAACCAGGGAAATACAAATCCAAATTGCATGGAAATTTCATCTCACTCCAGTCAGAATGGCAATAATACAAATAATAATAATAATAATAAATGGTGGCAAGGACATGGGGGAAAAGGTACACTCATACAGTGCTGGTGAACTACAAATTAGTACGACAACTCTGGAAAGCAATATGGAAATGCTACAAAGGACTAAGAATGGAGCCAGGCACAATGGCACACTCCTATAATCCCAGAGGCTCGGGAGGCTGAGGCAGGAAGATCACAAGTTCAAAGCCAGCCTCAGCACCACTGTGTTCAATCCCTGGTTCAAAAACAAAAGCTAGGAGCAGTGGCTCCAGAGGCTGAGGCAGGAGGATGGCAAGTTCAAAGCCAGTTTCAGCAATGGTGAGGCGCTAAGCAACTCAAGTGAGACCTAAATAAAATACAAAACGGGGCAGGGGATGTGGCTCAGTGGTTAAGTGCCCCTGAGTTCAATCCCTGATACCAAGAAAAAGAAAACAAAAGACTTAAGAATGGAATCATGGTAGTGTGACCCACCTATCCTATTTATCCTATTATCCTATCCAAAAGAACTAAAATTGCCATACTATGGTGATATAGGAACATCAATTTTTGTTTGTTTCAGTACCAGGGACACTTAACCATTAAGCCATATACCCAGCCCTTTCTATGTTTTATTTTGAGACAGTGTCTCACTAAATTGCTGAAGCTGGCCTCAACTTGTAATCTTCCTAACTCATCCTACCTAGTCTCTGGGATTACAGTTGTACACCACCACACCTGCACAGAACATCAATTTTTATAGCAGCACAATTCACAATAGCTGAATTATGGCTTCAACCCAGATGCCCATCAAGAGATGAAAGAATTAAGAAACTGTGAAACTGTGGTATAAATACACAATAAAGTTTTAGTCCATCATAAAGAATGAAATCACGGCATTTGCCAGTAAATGAATGGAAATAGAGAATACTATGCTAAGTGAAATAAGCCAGACTGGAAAAAAATCAAGGGTCATATGTTTTCTGGTTACAAGGGGAAGCTAGAGCAAAATAAGGGTAGGGAGGGTTGGCATGTAGTTCAGTGGTAAAGCACCCCTGGGAGGGAGGGAGGGAGGGAGGGAAGGAAGGAAGGAAGGAAGGAAGGAAGGAGAGAAAAGCAAATATTAACTTGCTTGCACAAAATAAGTAATAAATAAATCACAGAACAAAAAAAGTTCCACTATTATTAATAAGATCAAAACAATGACGTATCTGCCAGTATTTCTGTTCATTTAAAATTTCCTAAATTAAGGGCTGCGCATCTAAAATTTGTTCAAAACAGGATGTCAGAAACCTTAAGTCCTAGCTGGGCGTGGTGACCAGAGACTCAGGAGGCTGAGGCAGGAGGATCAGGAGTTCAAAGCCAGTCTCAGCAAAAGCAAGGCACTAAGCAATTCAATGACACTCTGTCTCTAACATACAAAACAGAGCTGGGGATATAGCTCAGTGGTTGAGTGTCCCCGAGTTCAATCCCCAGTGGCAAAAAGAAAAAAAAAAAAAAGAAAGAAAGAAAGAAACCTTAAGTCCTAGATTCAGTTCATAATGAGACTAAAAAGAACTCCTGAGATTAGTTCTCCACATTTCAGATGAGGTGAAGATGATTTAAATTACATGGCACACTGTGAGGTTTTATTTATTTATTTTTTTAAAGTTGTAGTTGGACACAGTACCTTTATTTATTTATTTTTATGTGGTGCTGAGGATCGAACCCAGGGCCTCACGCTTGCCAGGCAAGTGCCCTACCACGGAGCTACAACTCTAGCCCCAAAATGTTTAATATCTTTAGCAATAAGGGAAATGTAAATCAAACCTCCACTGAGATTTCATCTCACTTCAGTCTGAATGGCAAAAATCCAGAATACAAATAATAACTGCAGGTAAAGATGAGAGGGGAAAGGCACACTTAGTCACTGCTGGTGGACCCTGAATTAGTACAACCACTATGGAAATCAGTACGCGGTTCCTCAAAAGACTAGGAATGGAACCACCAGATGACCCAGCCCTGCCACTCCTCAGTATTTATCACAAAAAAATGTAAAGTAAGCAGAGTGCAGTGGCACACACCTCCAATTCTATACTCAGGAGGCTGAGACAGGAAGATTCCAAATTTGAGGCCAGCCTAGGCAATTTAGAAAGACTGTCTCTCAAAATAAAATGAAAAGAGCTGAGGATGTAACTGGGTGAGTACCTCTGGGTACAATCCCCCATATCAAAAAAAAAAAAAAAAAAAGGAAAAAAATCCATTTATTATTAAAAAAAAAAAAAGAATTTTAAAATCAGCATACTATGTTTAATGCAGCATGATCCACAATAGCCAAGTCATGGAACCAGCCTAGGTGACTGTCCACAGATGAATGAACAAAGGAAATGAAGTATATGCACACAATGAAGTTTTATTCAGTCAAAAATAATGAAATGTGGCATTTGCAGGAAAGTGGACAGAACTTGAGAGCATTGTGTTAAGCAAAATAGGCCAAACTCAGAAAGTTAAGAATTGTATGTTTTCTCTCAAATGTAGAAGCTAGAGAAAAAAATGTATGAAAGGCGGGGGGAGAATCTCATGAAAACAGAAGGGAGGCCCATAGAGGAAGAGGACCGGGGAAGTGTGAGGAAAGGGCAAGGGGAGGCAGCTCGGCATAAAACCAATCAAATATGTGTGTATGAATATGTCACAACGAATCCCACTATCATGTTTAATTATATAACACACCAATAAAACTGATTTTAAAAAACAAGTAATTTATGACCTCAATTTTCAAGAATTTTATAATAGCCTTGTTATTAGCACAATTATTAATTCAAAAAATAATCCTAACATATATACATTAGGTTTGAACTTTAGCCAAATTGTAAATACACTTTACTAGAAATCAGAGCCAGACTCAGAACAGCAAGTGGTCCACAGTGAAGTGACTGCACAGACCAGATCACCCAGGACTGTCCAGTGTATCTCACAACTTAACATTTGTCTGAGATCTTCCATTTTTAACAACATATTATCATGTAAAATTGCATTAAGGCAGGATGAGAGGAGCTTGCTGGACTTTCACTCTACATTTCCACCTCCTGCCACTGCCTTAGCTCTCTTTAACTTCTGGTTCAGTCTGAGAGCCAGACAGACAACACAGCTCTTTCTGTATACAATACAGCACACTTGGACACTGGCATTACACTAGGGGTAGCTAGCTACCCGACCTCAGATGAGAATGGACACATATGAGAATTTGCAGTGCCAACAAGACAGTGGGTCCACCTGCCAATTGTGGCAGAGCCATTCCACAGCTTGCAGATGCACAAACCCTCTAGGCCATCATATTCTGGGTGGAGTGGAAAAGGTCAGATTTTGAGAAATACAGATAGGAAAGATGCTGAAGGCTCCTGTGCATTGTACAGAAGAGAGTAAACGAAGCACTCTTGCAACAGGTGTTTTGCCATTTACTGAATTGCCTAAAGCCACAATTATTTATTTTGTTTGATAACATTTTATTTTGCAGCGATATTTATCAATTATTTCCACACTTCTTTTTATGCTTGTGTCTCCATTTAGGCACTAAGAGTATATAGTCATGCTGCTACAACCACTCTCTTCCTAGTACATTATTTTACTGAATAATCTTGAGTATAAAGACTTAACAACAAAAAAGTATCACCTGGATCCTCAAAAACATAAACCTGAAGCCATGGCAAGGGTCCAACAAGAAAAACAACTGTTAAGGTACTACTATAGCAAAGCTATATTTATTAAATCACTGTGATTTTGAATACAAAAAAAAGTCTTTATTCCACAACAAGCACAAAAAAATAAAATTCTACCTAACCTGTCGTTAAATATATGCAAGATTTAAAACTCTATGAAAAAAATCCTTTCTTGATTCAGAATTATGTATTAACCCCGAGGGCTTCACTCATTTTAAGCATCTATATAGAGTTTAGATAGAGTCAAAAAAACAAACAAAAAAAAACAAAATTTAAGTACCATAAGAGTTTATTTTGCACAACAAATAATCATTCCTTACTTCAAATAGTATCCTCCAGATTATACTTCAGTTTATCTTCAAAATAAGTATAGGACAAGTCTATATATAAAAAACATGCCAGGAGCTGTGGCAGATGCCTGTAATCTCAGGTTGAGGGAGGAGGATGGCAAGTTCAAAACCAACCTCAGCAAAAGCAAGGCACTAAGCAACTCAGGAAGACCCTGTCTCTAAATAACATACAAAACAGGGCTGGGGATGTGGCTCAGGGGTCTTCGTTCCCCAGTACCCCACCAAAAAAATAAAAAGAGCTGGGGATTTAACACAGTGGCAAAGTGTCTAAGTTCAATCCCTTATTCCAAAAATAAATAAATAAAAATAAAATAAAACCCCCAAATTCTATAATTTTATAAAAATAAAACCTAAAATTCTTGGGTTGGGGATGTAGCTCATTGGAAAGGAACATGACTACCACATACAAAGCCCTTCTTGTTCAATCCCAGCACTACACACACACAAATTTTCTTAAAAAGACAATTATTTTTCCTAAGTGACAAGTTGGCCTACTCTAAAAGTAATGTCATCTGAGGTTCCTGGAAAACTTTCAAATTCTTTCAAATCTAAGAACATACTACAATAAAAACCATTCTTTTTGCAATATACTTACAGAACAAAACAAGAAGGTAAAAAAATCCATCTTTGAACTTTGAAATTTTTTTCACATAACACATTATTATAAAAGGTGATAACTGGGCTGTTATGGCTCAGTGGCAGAGCACTTGCCATGCACTTGTGAGGCACTGGGTTCAATTCTCAGCACCACATAAAAATAAACAAACAAAATAAAAATATTTTTTAAAAGGTGATAATTGTTTAATTCCCAATACATCCCAGATAAAAAATCCAGGTTATAGTTCCATTAAATTTAAAACCTTAGTTTTGAAAGTTTCAACTTTAAAGTTAACATTATTAGGGCTGGGGATATAGCTCAGCGGTAGTAGAGTGTTTGCCTAGCATGCATAAGGTCCTGGGTTCAATCTCCAGCAAAGAAGAAAAAACAAAAATTCACACTGTTAGATACCATTGAAGAGTCTATATTACCCAATCAATAGATAACACCTTTAATCCAAGCCTCATACACCCAGACATAACATCTCAGGGAAGGTACCACCCTACTCCAATCAAGAGCCTTCAGCTTAGACAAGGGGACAAACAGCAGGAAACTAGACAAGTCATACAAACAAGCCCACTGATAATGCTGTCTTCTTTATATACAACCTTGCCATAGTGAGAAAAAGTATTTCGAGAAACGCTGTTTATGCTTGTGTTGATATGAAATGAGATCTTTAGCTTAATAACATTACATCAGTTCCTTAACTAAACAAACTAGTCTGCCTTGAGGTTAACCAAGTAGCTTGGAAGAGAAAAGAAAAGAAAAAAAAAGCTAGATTCTAATCCCAGCTATGACATACAGGTCCTTCCTTCCCAGCTCTAAAATGCTATGTACAAAACCAAAGAAAATATCCTAATTATTTTACAGCATTTAGGTCACTCCCTAGTCTGTACTGTACAAAAATGCCATTTTAGAAAACTCTGATAAATGTACCAGAAATAGAAATCAAATCCGGCCCTTTCCCAATTTTTAATTTATAAACTAGGATGTGCATATAATATACAGAAGCATAATTAATGTCCCTTTTTTAAGCCAGAATTAAGTTCCTCAGTATTTTACTGGTATTTTACTCTCATGGGACAGTGGTTCAGTGGTAGGCTCTGGAAAAGTGACTCCTACTCAGACTTCCAGGTGGGTCTCTTAGAAAATCTTACTTCAATTATTTACTGTGCATATTTCCCTATATTTAACATATCTTTACTTTAAATACTTAAAATCAGGCATCAAGGATTCTCCCTCGCCCTTAGTACATAAAAATTATAGATTTGATTAAATATGTTAATTCCCCAATTGCTCCTCTTGAAAATGCTTCCAACTTGATTCACATTCAATTTTCAAAATACTTTTGTAAAATGGTTCATTACACTATAAAGATATCGAGGGCCTTGAAATAAAACTTAGTTCACCTTGGGCTCAAACCCATCAAACTGATCAAGATTCTCTTTAAAATTCCCGGTCAAGTCAAAACAAAAGAAGGGGGCCTATCTTAACGTCAGTCTTCCTCTTCTCGGACGCACTAGGTAATTTTCAAAGCATGAAAATTAGGTCTGAGTCCTTCTAATGCTAACAGTTGATTCATCTGTGAGCCTAAAGATGGATCTTTCCGCGAGTTGTAACGATCAAAATTAGGGCAAGTGGAGAGAGCTGCACTCGGGTTCACATCAGCTTCTGAGGTATGAAACTAAAGGGTTGAGCGTCTCATCCGGCTTTAGGATCAGAGGAAGAGCTCCAGCCAGCCTGCGCATCACCAGTACCTCATGACCGGTCTCGTCCGTTCAGCAAACAGGTCGTGACCAGGTACCGAGCGCCCGTCCTCTCACAGCGACCTGCTGCCAGGACTGGACACCGCAGCCCGCTCGGCCAGGTCACGTCCATCGAAGCCAGCCTTCCACGCACCCCAGCGACCTTGACCCACGTGCTTCCGAAAGCCTGGCCACACCGTGCACCGCGCACACCTTGCCCCGGGAAGGCGCACCTCGCACCCGGGCCAAACGCCTCGAGGCGGGGCTGGGCCGACTCCGGGCCACTGAGCCCCACGCCGCGCGAGAGGTGGCGGCAGGCCCGCAGCGGGCAGGAGGCCGGTGCCCGAGCAGGGCGCGCGGACGGGGCGGCCCCTGCTCACCTGCCAGCGCGCGGGCCGCGGAGAGGGGCGCAGCGGCCGAGGGCGGCAGGCGGCGGGTGGCGGAGGAGGCCGGCCCGAGGCGGCAACCCCGCCGGGCTCGGGCTCCGAGGGCCCCCGCCGGCGGGGCTCGCCCGCCCAGACGCGCAGGCGGAACCAACAAAGCGCCGCCGCTCCCGGCGCAGGCTAGCGGCGGGCGGGCCGGGGGGCTGCCCTGAGCCAGGCCCGGCGCGGGAGGTGAGAGGCCGCCGAGGCTCGGGGTCGGGCCCCGCGCCGCAGCGGGCGGGAAGCGATGAGCGCGCCCGAAGCTGACCTTGGAGTCTCCGTTGCACAGAGCCATCGGGGCCGCAGCGGCAGGCGCACGAGACGCGCTGTGAGCTGCCGGAGGAGCGGACGCCGCGGAACGAGGCCGAGCGCAAGGCCTGGAGGCGGAGAGTGTCGGGCCTGATCCGCGCGCGAGCCCAGCGCCGCGGGAGAGCAGCGCCGCCGCGCGCCGCACTCGCTTCCGCCCGAGCACGGGGAGGAGCCGGGGCGTGGCCAGCGCTGGTATCCGCCCCTGAGTGGGTGGGGCCTCCTCTGAGGACCGCCCCCGCGGCCACAAAGAAGCGGTCCCCACACCGCCCTGGGGAAGAGTTCGCAGGGCCTCACGCCCCTCGCCTCCGCCTGGAGGAGGATCCCTCTCGCCTGCGCTGCGGCCCCTCCAACCGCAAGGCCCGGGAGCTGCCCTGCAGCGCTCAGACCCCGGCGCAGGCAGAGTGGCGGGCCCAGGAGAGCACGCTTCTGCAGAGCTGCACTGGGGGCCCTCGGCGGCTGCGAGATACCGGAGGGGCCCTGGCCGCGTCCTGCTTCGAAAAGTCTCGTGGTCAATCAGGGGGCATCAGTGTGGGACTGGACCATTCGATCCATCCAAAGGCCCATAGCCAGGAGCGGTGGCACACTCCTGTAGTCTCAGCGGCTCGGGAGCCTGAGGCTGGAGGGCCGCTGGAGGTCAGCCTCAGCAATTTAGCGAGACCCTGTTTCAAAATAAAAGCGCTGCGGCTGGGGTTGTGGCTCAGTGTCACGTGTGAGACTTGATCCTCAGCACCACATATAAACAAATAAAATAAAGACATGTCCATCTATAACTAAAAAAAGATATATATTTTAAAATGAATAAAAAGCTCTGGGTGTAGCACGGTGGTAAAGTGCCCCTGGGTTCAATCCCCAATGGATGCCGGGCTGGGGAAGGGGCCACAGCAGGAGCAGCATTTCCAAAAGAACGGAGTTGGGGAGCGGCTTTTAGGTAGGCTGCTGAGCCAAGAGACTGCTCTTGCAGCTCTATTTATATAGCAAACAAACTTTTTTTTTTTATTAGGATCTTTGGAGGGAGCGAGCTGCAGTCCCTCTACTTACCGATCAAAACAAGTATTGCCTTGAATTTCGTTATCCAGGGACTCAAATTGGGGTCGAAACGACACTAACAGTTTCGTTTTGGGTAGCGGCGATTAAACTCTGGGGCCCTCGACCTCTAAGCCACATCCCCAGCCCTATTTTGTGTTTTATTCGGAGAGGTCTCCCTGAGTTGCTTAGCACCTCGCCATTGCTGAGGCTGACTTTCAACTCGCCATCCTCCTGTCTCAGCCTCCCAAACCTTTGGGATTACAGGCGTGCGCCACCTGACTGACACTAACACTCTCGAAATTCTTCCCCTAACAAAACCTTTCTACAAATACCCAGCTCTTTCCATACAGGGGGCTCATGCTTTGCTACCTGAGGTGCACACCTGTAATCCCAGCAGCAGGGGAGGCTGACAGGAGGATTGCAAATTTAAAGCCAGCCTCAGCAATTTGGAGAGATCCTGTCTCAAAATAAAATAAAATAAGAAAGGATGGGGATGTGGCTCAGTGGTTAAGCACACCTGGGTTCAATCCCTGGCACCAAAAAAAGAGAGAGATCCAGAGAGAAAGAATTGGAGTTTCTTAGCCTGGCACTGTGAGCACACCTCCTAGAGTGAGAAAGGATAGTAGGAAGTTGGAGACCAGGCTCGCACCTTAGCCAGGTCCTAAGCAACTTAGCTAGACCCTGTCTTAAAAAATAAAAAGGATAGAGGGATTTAACTCACCCTGCATTCAATCCCCAGTGCCAAAAAAAAGAAAAGTTTTTAAAAATAAAAGAGAATTGGTATTTCTGTCTCCCTGATACAGAGGAGAAAATCAAGTTTGAGTGAATTAATATGCTTCTCAATACAGAAGTAAAGGTTACCCAACCTGGAAAAGAATAGGTTTAGACTCAAAATATTCCACCTACCTTTTTTTGAGCTGAAAAATGAATATTGGAGCCCTCCAAAGTCATGGATACTGGGTTGTCTTGGTGAGTCTGTGAACAATCTGGAGAATACTCTGGTAGCCAATAGGAGCGTCTCAGCTTGCCTAAATGTTCACCCCTGAGGGCATGGAATGTGAGGTGATGTGCTGACATCGAGGATTGGCTAGCTCTCATCCATATTAGATAATGTCTACTTTAAATGATTTCTGGAGGTCACTTGTGTTTATTAAGAATTTCAGCATACACTAGGATCCCTGTTGAAGTTCCTCTTGGACTTTGGACTCTGTTGACCCCTGCTGTCTTGAAACTATTTCCCTTACAGTGCTCCATAGTGGCATATTTTCATACTATGATTACTCTTAATTGCCTTTTTTGCCTTATCCATATCCTCCCTAGTCGTCATTGTAGTGTTCTTCAGTATTTGCATTTCTAGCCCCCTTCTCATCTTAACTCTTCACCTGTTTCCCTTTAGCACTTATTTAAAAAATAAATTACTCCTAAGAGGCTCCTGAGATCTCTTTTCTGAGCTCCAGATCTATTTAACTGTGTATACCCTCAGTTGGATGTCCCAACATTGTTTTGGACCCCAAACACAACAAATACAGCACACTAATTTCTGTCCCCAAATTTTTGTGCCTACTCTCATTGGCGCCATGATATTATTACCAAAAGCTCAGCCTTCATAACCCAATGCCAATCCAATAACAAGCACACAGTTTTGAGAAAAAGGAAAAAGAAGTTTTATTGCCAGGCACGGTGGTGCACGCCTGTAATCTCAGTGACTAAGAAGGCTGAGGCAAAAGATTGACAGGTTCAAAGCCAGCCTCAGCAATTTAGTAAGGCTGTAAGCAATTTAGGGAGAACTTGTCTCAAAAAATTAGAAAGGGCTGGGGATATCTCTCAGTGATAAAGTACCTGGTACCAAAAATAAATAAATAAAGTTAGTTTCATTGCTTTCCAGGCAAAGGAGAAACACAGGAGACTTCTGTCCCAGAGGTGTGATTCTCTCCATCAGAGAGATCAGGGGATTTTTTAAAGAGGTGATTCAAAGGATACATTCCTGGTATTCCCTGTGCAGATTTGTAATTCACTTGTTGATTTGAGAGGTAGTCATTTCCTAGATCTGCTGGTGCCATCTCTTAAATCTGAGTTACTTGGTTGGAGTGGTAGGTGTGTGCTTAAGGACAGATAATTTTTCTTAGGATGGGAAAGAAAAGTAATCCTGTTTCCCTTGAGATTAAGGAGGGGTAGGGATGAGGGAGGAGAAGGGGGAGAGGAAGAGAAAGAAATATATATTTTTGATAAAGACCCTTTATCAAGTTGAGAGCATTTCTTACTGAGAGTTTTTATCAAGAATGGATATTGTGCTGGGCTTGGGGGCACACACCTGTAATCCTAGCAACTCAGGAGATGGAAGCAGGAGATTGCAAGTTCAGGGACAGCCTGGCCAACTTAGCAAGACTTGTCTCAAAATAAAAAATAAAAAAAGGACTGGGGCTGTAGCTCCATAGTAGAGTGCTGCCAGGTTCGATCCCCAGAACTGAAAAATAAAATAAAATTTTGAAATACTAGGGACTTGGAAAGTAGCTCAGAGGTGGAGCACTTGTCTAGCATTCGAGAGGCCCTGGGTTCCATCCCCAGTGTCACACAAAAGAGATTGACCTTGTCCAACTCTTGTTTCTGTAGCCACAGATAACTAAATAGTTTTGTTTTTCATTTTGTTAATGTGGTAAATAGGGTGATTGATATTTGACTATTAAACCAGTCCTACATTTTTGGGATAAACTTCAACACATCTTTTTTTTTTTAATTGTTGATGAACCTTTATTTTATGAATTTATTTATTTATTTATATATTTAGATGCAGTGCTGAGAATTGAATCCAGAGCCTTGCACATGCTAGGAAAGCACTCTACCCATTGAGCCACAACCCCAGCCCTTAATACATCTTGATATACTTTCATTTTTATATGTTGGACTTAATTTGCTAAAATTCTGGTTTTGAATTTTTGCATCTACAATTGTGTAAGTCATTTTTTTGTCACTGTGACAAAATACCTGACAAGAATAACTTTGAGGGGAAAAATTTATTTTGGCTTAGGGTTTCAGAGGGTCAGTCTATGTTGGGCCTGAGATAGGGATTTAGGATAAAGAAAGAGAAATAGGGAATCTTAAAGGATCAGAGGCTGGGGCTAGGGCTCAGTTGTAGAGCACTTGCCTAGCATGTGTGAGACACTGGGTTCAATTCTCTGCACCATCTATAAATAAATTAAATAATAAAGGTCCATTGACAACTGAAAAAAAAAAAAAAGAAACACCCATAAGCAGAAAGCATAGTTCTAAATCTTGAGCAAGAAGCCCTTGGCCCATGCCCTTGTAAAATGAGGAAAATACACAAGGGCAAGGGAAAACTGGGGAATTGTGCAGTTCTACCTTGGATCCACCTCTGGTCAGCCCCTGGTATAGCCCTTCTATAAATATTGGACCCTCAGCCCAAGTCAGGTGTGCTGCTCACTCTCAAGACAGCCCACACACTCCCTTGAATGAGTATCTGTTATGCTTGAATTTGGGACCCACCAGAGACCAAGATGGATGTAAGCAGCAAAGAGGTGTTTATTGCGAGCTAGCTCGGTCCTCCGAACGCATACACAGCAACTGGTGACGCTGAGAGACCCCGAGCCCAGAGTTTGCAGCAGTTTTATACACTCTTTGGGGAAGGCAGGGACTTCACATACATCATAGCATCTCTTAGCAAATCATCACACACTGAGGGGAAAATCAAACAACAACTCTAAAACATGATTAGCACATTCACTGGTGGGAACAAGTTGGGTAGGGGTGTGTTTGAACTGATTGGTTTAAACCAAGAGGGGTGTTCGTGCTGATGAACTACATGGTTTCCCAACACCATAAACTACTGGGAGGGTCATCTGGCATCCCAGGTATTTCCCTGTCTCATGCTGATTGGTGGCTGCTAGGGGGCTGGTATGGATCCCTCCTGGCCTGACTGAGTCAGGGACACCTGGCGCAGCAGATCTCTCCTGTTATTTGTAGATAAACAACTTAGCAGGGTGGGAATGTGCCTAGTAGTGCTCTGTGGGTCTTTCCAAGGACAAAGGTCATGTCCCTTCCTTGGACAGGCTTTGCTCTGAGGTAGAGGCTGGTTTTTCATATCTACCTTCC